ATTTTATTGTGAAAGAGAGACCTTCAGGAAGTGGCTGCTGGTTTCTGCAGCAGTAAAAACTGAATATCTGTTCCTGGTTCAACTAGGATCTATCGAAGACCAGACTCCCCTGAACCAGATCCGGATCCTGAATCCAGCTGTGTATCCTTCCGAAGCAACCAGTCAAAGCATGAACCGATCCTGTTTAACCACGAATCCTCCGGTCCTGAACCGAGGTGAGCTTTTACGGACGAGTTCAAATTATGAGATAGAATAATGATCGTAGTTTACATACCATACGTTGATTGGTTACAAACAAAAGTCCTGCATATCGGGTCTTTTAGTGCAAACGTCACAATTTGTGAGTCGGCTACGTCACCGGCAATGTGAGCTGTTACTGACAGCGAGTCTGAACCGGTTTCTGATCCAGAGCTGAGTCCTTTAAGGACTTGTTTGGACCAAGTTTCACTGCAGCCTGATGTTCTTCTCTGTCCACCAGAATCCATCAGAGACCAGAGTCCCCTGAACCTGGATCTGAACCTGGATCTGAACCTGAATCTGAACAGAGCTGTGTGTGCTCCAAGAGTGAAAAGTCAATGGCCGAACCTATCCTGTTTAAAGATGTTGAACTGAGGTGAGTTTGTTCAAGATGATTCAAGATCTCAGCGTTATTCAGATTTTACATATCAGTGAGACTGATGTACTCCATAAGACGACTGTAATAGCTACATTTTATAGGTATTCAAGATTATTCTTCATGTAAAGTCTTGTGCATTTCACATTCAGTCGCTAACGTCAACGTAAAGGGGAAAGTAGAAAATTGTACCCCTCTGTGGACCACTTGGGATATATTATAAAAGAAGACTAAAAATGTGTGTTACATGACTTGATGAGTAAATTACTAAAAAAAGATGGCAAAGCATTCTTTGGAAAAAATTTATATTTCAAAAAAATGAAAGACATTTATTTACAGTAGACTTTAAAGCAGCTATAACCGGTATTTTACTCCACCCCTGTATGAAGTGTGTGAATGCAGACTGGACTGTTGATTCACAGTGGGATCAGCAGTGCAACCAACACTAATATCAGGGGAAACCATCTGATTGAATGTTGTTATTAACACTTTAACTCAAAGGACCTTTAGCTTGTGTTTGTCTCTGTGTGGACAGTCATAATGTGAGCTCATTCTTCATGATTCCTCCACAGAGTGGACCAGGAGAGCTCAGAGGTTCCCAGTGGTCAGTCTGCCCAGCAGCATCAAACACACCTGGACTCCATATTTATGGTCTGTACATGGACAACAACTACTTTTACATCTATTGTGTTCACAATAATCTCCATGCTGCACTTTTTAGACCAGTGGATTGTCAGTCTGTCCAACATGGATATGTTATATGGACATATAATATTCTGTTCCAGCTGCTGGAGGACAACATTGTCACTTTTGTGAAGAACGAGCTGAAGAAGATCCAGAAGGTTCTGAGTTCAGATTACCCAGAATGCTCAGAGAGTCAGAGGGAGGATGAGGAGGTGTTGGACGGTGAGGATGAAGAACAGAGGAGGAGCAGAGAGGCATTACTGAAGATCACAGTGCACTTCCTGAGGAGAATGAAACAGGAGGAGCTGGCTGACTGTCTGCAGAGCAGTAAGAGGATTTCTCTAAAGATTTAACTCACTGTTTACCTTTTCCAGCCTGCCCATGTTTTTATTGTTCAGAGTCTGGTTTTTGTCACTTAACTTGCAGTTACTGTCCTGAGTCCTGGTTGGTTTCACAGTTGAGAACATTTAGCAGGAAGTCATGTGCCCATCTTCAGCACAGACTTTGCATTAACTTACAACTAGCTCACTGTGTGTTGATGTGTTGGATATATTTAGGCTGAACTGGATACAGCTAAATTGATTGCAAATATTTGATTTTGTTGGATTTCTGTCCATCTGAGGCTCTTCCTGAGCTTTCTTCCATTTTTCCCTGTTAAATGGGTTCTTTGGGGAGTGTTTCCTTACCAAAATCATGAGATATTCTAGAGGGTTGTAAAGCCCCCTGAGGCGAATTGTGTCTCTGTTGGCTCTAGATCTTGAAGGAATTCATTGCTTTGATTGGGTACATTGAGGGAATTATGATGTTACCCCTTGAGCTGGACGTTTTAGGTATCACCAGATATTTTCAGATTGTCTTCTCTTTAGGTATTTTAGTCTGACTGACTGAACTGCCCCCAAATGATTGAACCCCAAACTTAGGAGCGTTCTACCCCAAGTCATATTTCCTAGAGAGTATACTTGTAATAAAGTGATGTTACTTCTTTCAGAATCTCCTGCCATGTTCCAGCTTAACCTCAAATCTAAGCTGAAGAAGAAGTTCCAGTGTGTGTTTGAGGGAATTGCTAAAGCAGGAAACCCAACCCTTCTGAACCAGATCTACACAGAGCTCTACATCACAGAGGGAGGGACTGCAGAGGTCAATGATGAACATGAGGTCAGACAGATTGAAACAGCATCCAGGAAACCAGACAGACCAGAAACAACAATAAGACAAGAAGACATCTTTAAACCCTCACCTGGAAGAGATGAACCAATCAGAACAGTGATGACAAAGGGAGTGGCTGGCATCGGGAAAACAGTCTTAACACAGAAGTTCACTCTGGACTGGGCTGAAGACAAAGCCAACCAGGACATACTGTTCATGTTTCCATTCACTTTCAGAGAGCTGAATGTGCTGAAAAAGAAAAAGTACAGCTTGGTGGAACTTGTTCATCACTTCTTTACTGAAACCAAAAAATCAAGAATCTGCAGGTTTGACGAGTTCCAGGTTGTGTTCATCTTTGACGGTCTGGATGAGTGTCGACTTCCTCTGGACTTCCACAACACTGAGATCCTGACTGATGTTACAGAGTCCACCTCAGTGGATGTGCTGCTGACAAACCTCATCAGAGGGAACCTGCTTCCCTCTGCTCGCCTCTGGATAACCACACGACCTGCAGCAGCCAGTCAGATCCCTCCTGAGTGTGTTGACATGGTGACAGAGGTCAGAGGATTCACTGACCCACAGAAGGAGGAGTACTTCAGGAAGAGGTTCAGAGATAAGGTCCAGACCAGCAGAATCATCTCCCATGTCAAGACATCACGAAGCCTCCACATCATGTGCCACATCCCAGTCTTCTGCTGGATCACTGCTACAGTTCTGGAGGATGTGTTGAAGACCAGAGAGGGGGGTGAACTGCCCAAGACCCTGACTGAGATGTACATCCACTTCCTGGTGGTTCAGTCCAAACTGAAGAACATCAAGTATGATGGAGGAGCTGAGACAGATCCACACTGGAGTCCAGAGAGCAGGAAGATGATTGAGTCTCTGGGAAAACTGGCTTTTGAGCAGCTGCAGAAAGGCAACCTGATCTTCTATGAATCAGACCTGACAGAGTGTGGCATTGATATCAGAGCAGCCTCAGTGTACTCAGGAGTGTTCACACAGATCTTTAAAGAGGAGAGAGGACTGTACCAGAACAAGGTCTTCTGCTTCATCCATCTGAGTGTTCAGGAGTTTCTGGCTGCTCTTCATGTCCATCTGACATTCATCAGCTCTGGAGTCAATCTGCTGGCAGAAGAAGAATCAAACTCCCAGAAGTCTGAAACAAGAAAAGATGAATCTGCAGAGACACAGTTCTACCAGAGTGCTGTGGACAAGGCCTTACAGAGTCCAAATGGACACCTGGACTTGTTCCTTCGCTTCCTCCTGGGCCTTTCACTGGAGACCAATCAGACTCTCCTACGAGGTCTGCTGACACAGACAGGAAGTGGCTCAGAAGCCAATCAGGTAGTGGTCAAGTACATCAAGAAGAAGATCCATGAGAACCCCTGCCCTGAGAGAAGCATCAGCCTGTTCCACTGTCTGAATGAACTGAATGATCATTCTCTAGTGGATCAAATCCAACAGTACCTGAAATCTGGTAGCCTCTCCACAGATTACTTGTCTCCTGCTCAGTGGTCAGCTCTGGTCTTCATCTTACTGTCATCAGAAAAAGATCTGGACGTGTTTGACCTGAAGAAATACTCTGCTTCAGAGGAGGCTCTTCTGAGGCTGCTGCCAGTGGTCAAAGCCTCCAACAAAGCTCTGTGAGTGGGATTTATTCATCAATAAATACACTGATATATTTCAACAGGAGAAAAACATCAATCAGTTATTACTTGTTTCCTTACTGTTGTCTCTCCAGACTGAGTGGCTGTAACCTCTCAGAGAGAAGCTGTGAAGCTCTGTCCTCAGTTCTCAGTTCCCAGTCCTCTAGTCTGAGAGAGCTGGACCTGAGTAACAACAACCTGCAGGATTCGGGAGTGAAGCTTCTGTCCACTGGTTTGGAGGGTCCACATTGTAACCTGGAAACTCTCAGGTCAGATCAGTTCTTTTTTATTATTCTTGTGTTTTAATTAGTTTATTTATCTTGAGGGGTCATGGTCACATGTTTAAATCTGGCTTGAACTGCGTATCTGGTGTGGGTCAGATAGAGCCGGGTAGTCCGGACATCCTTTTGCCCAGCCATGTCCTCCAGCTCCTCCTTGGCCATTTGAAGGTGTTCAGATGAGACATATAGCTCTCTGGTACACAATACTAAGCATGGGGGACACAGGTGTAAGCCTTCTCCAACTCTACAAAACACAGGATGAGTAAACTGGTCGAGACAGACGACCACCCACCTAGAGCCGGAGGATCTGTCCTCGGTTTCTGCCTTTTAACAGGCAGTTTTTCCTTGCCCTTGTCGCCAAGTGCTTGCTCATGGTGGTACTGTTGGGTCTCTGTAATTAATGTTAAAGAGTTCGGTCTAGACCTGCTCTATTTGAAAAGTGTCCTGAGATAACTTCTGTTATGAATTGGCGCTATACAAATAAAATTGAATTGAATTGAATTGAATTAAACTCTGATGACCCCTCCAGTAACCTTGCAAGGGTTCAATCGTCCACGACCAGGACAGATTTCAAGGTTTGACAACTGGTTTCCAGTACCCTGACATAAGTTTAGCATTGTGATACGCCAATATTTGGAGCACACCCTCAGGTGCCCCTTCAGTGATTCAGGAAACCTCGGTCTATCATAGTCCTGAAATGTCTCCTCCCTTAGCTTAACTACTGGTGTCCACCACCACTTCTGAGGTTGCCAGCTAAATGTATATCTAGTTAGTACTGCTCCACCTCCCGCACCAGCCCCGGTTCCTTCCCCATTAGAGAGGTAAAGGGTTTCAGGGATCAGCATACCTAGATCCCTTTCCCTGCATGACACCTGACTGCACTCAACCCCAGTGCCTGTCGCTACGGGTGGTGTGCCCAGGCATTTGTCACTCTTCACTTCAAGCATTGATGGATTTGATTGATACCACTTGCAAATATATGAGGGAGTAATGTAACTTGAATACCAATATGCAGATGATATGCTTTTATATTTGACTACAACATATTTGTTATTCTTCATCAATGCTTACATTTATCCAAGTAAATATTGACTCTAACTTAAACGGTGCAGTCATATCATTCAGTTTACAGCTCTTTATTAACACATTCGCAATCTGTGTTGTTTTGTGTGTTCGCAGGCTGTCAGGCTGTCTGATCACAGAGGAAGGCTGTGCTTCTCTGGCCTCAGCTCTGAGCTCCAACCCCTCCCATCTGAGAGAGCTGGACCTGAGCTACAATCATCCAGGAGACTCAGGAGTGAAGCTGCTGTCTGCTGCACTGGAGGATCCACAGGGGAGACTGGACACTCTCAGGTAGGAAGAGGCATCATGTGGACACATTGCACATAACAAAGAGAGCTTGGTCTTCTGACTCTGTTATGTCCTCTCTCTTTCAGAGCCGACCCTGCTGGAGTCCAGTGGTTGAACCAAGGCTTGAGGAAATGTGAGTGTGTTTTCGTTTGAAAATAAAACCTGTATTTTTCATGAAAAATATGTTTTACTTTAATTGTTTGGACCCTCCCGGGAGCTGTAAGCAAAAACCAGTCAAAACTGTAAAAAATAAACAAAAATTGCTAGCTTGCTATCATTAGCACAGTAATAATAATAACAATATTTAAACTTTTTGTCGTTCTCTCCGTCAGATTCCTGCAAACTCACACTGGATCCAAACACAGCGCACAAATTTCTCAAACTGTCAGAAAACAATAAAAAGGTGACGGATCTTAGGAAGGAGCACCCGTATCCCGACCACAAGGACCGGTTTGACTACTGGCCTCAGGTGCTGTGCGAGAACGGTCTGACTGGTCGCTGTTACTGGGAGGTGGAGTGGAGCGGGAAGGTGTACGTCGCGGTGAGTTACAGAGGAATCGGACGGAACGGAGACAGCGACGGCTCCAAGTTCGGAGGCAACGATCAGTCCTGGAGTCTAACCTGCACCGACGGGGGATATAACGCCTGGCACAATAACAGCGGGACGCTCATCTCCTCCTCCTCTGTCTCTAACAGAGTAGCAGTGTATGTGGACTGTCCTGCTGGCACTCTGTCCTTCTACAGAGTCTCCTCTGACACACTGATCCACCTCCACACCTTCAACAGCACATTCACTGAACCTCTTTATCCTGGGTTCGGGTACGGGGTGAAGTTCAACTCCTCTGCATTTCTGTGCCCACTGTAGAGCCTCCTCATCTCCTCTGTCCTCCTGCCTGTGGCAGAGAAATCAATCTCTGTACGCCATCTTGAAGGACGTCAAAATGTAGTTTGATCAGTATACACTGTATCTTTATGGATGATATTGATCAGAATACACTGTATCTTTATGGATGATATTGATCAGTATACACTGTATCTTTATGGATGATATTGATCAGAATACACTGTATCTTTATGGATGATATTGATCAGAATACACTGTATCTTTATGGATGATATTGATCAGTATACACTGTATCTGTATGGATGATATTGATCAGAATACACTGTATCTGTATGGATTATTGATCAGTATACACTGTATCTGTATGGATGATATTGATCAGAATACACTGTATCTTTATGGATTATTGATCAGTATACACTGTATCTTTATGGATGATATTGATCAGTATACACTGTATCTTTATAGATTATTGATCAGTATACACTGTATCTTTATGGATGATATTGATCAGTATACACTGTATCTTTATGGATGATATTGATCAGTATATACTGTATCTTTATGGATGATATTGATCCTGTATTGACAGTCAGACTGTGGACATATGACGGCCTTTAGCTCGTGTTTCTAGAGTTACATGTTGTTATGGACACGTTAGGAATTTAAATGTGATATTTCTTAAAGGGAGTTTGGTGGAAAATTAACATCCACGCATTTTTGTCACATTATGCCAAGTTGCTGTCAGTCATTTAATTAGCTGTCAGGCACTTCCTGTCAGAGACTATAAAAACATTGTAATGTGTTTTATGTTCACATTTATGGGGATTATTATGTTAAAAGATATTTATATTTTTACTGTGCGTCTGTATTAAGTATTTAAATATATCTGTATATGTTTTGTCTGGCATTTAATGTCCAGAAGAAATAAAGTTTTTTTTAACTCTTTAAGAGTAAATCTTTAGTCAAATTGTACCTATATTTAACAATTTATGCCAAAAAGATTACCAAATTTAAAAAAGGTAAAAAAATAATTCATATTGAAATCACAATTTTTAAGTAACTTGATTACTTTCCGTTACTTTAGGATTACCTCAACATCAGATATGTAAATTAAAACTTAAAGAGAAAACTGAAGATTTTTACATTAAAATGTGACCTCTGCCCTGTATCTGTAGAGATAAAAACTGATGTATTATAATCCTGCAAATTAATCTCTACTCAATGTAACTGTAATCTGATTATGTCTTTTTCTGGTAACTGTAACAGATTATAGTTACCTTTTTTTGTATCCTGACTACTCAGTTACATCTAATCCATTACTACCCAAGCCTGCAAACAATGCTTATAATGGAAAACAGAAATATTGAAAGTAAAAGTATTACAAGTTTGAAATTACTACATTAATAAAAGTAAGGAAATATATTCAGAAGTAGTTTTTTGTAACATACAATGTAAACTATATTGTGTTATATATTCTTACTGTGTGTCTATATTATATATATTTACATACATTTGTCAATGTCCAGATGAAATAAAAACTGTCTTTTAACTCAGTCATATTGTACCTTTATTAAACGATGGATGCCAAAACAAATTTCTTTGTATTTTTATATTGAAAATCACAATATTAAAGTAACTTGATTACTTTCCATCTCTTTTGGATTACCTCAACACCAAATGTGTAAATAAAAACAAAAGAAATTAGATATCAGCAAAAGAAATGTGACTTCCGCCCTGTATCTATAGAAAGAAAGATCCTTCAAATAAACCGAATAAGTTACTTGGTTATAGTGGAAAACAGAAATATTGAAAATAAAATGATTGCAGTTTTGAAATATAAATGTAGTTTTTACCGCATTAATTAAAGTAAAGAAATATATTCAGAAGTTGTTATAATATATATAATGTAAAGTACTTCCTGTTGTCCGCTAGGGGGCGGTGTGCTCCGCCAACGTTGATGTGTATCCGCCTGTAAACGAACAGTAGAAGAAGAAGAGCAGCGGTGTTGTCATGATGTCGCTGTTGTTGTTGTTGTTGTTGTTGTTGTTGTTGTTGTTGTTGTGTTGTTGAGGAAACCAGCGGATAAAAATGTGCTTTTAATTTCTTTTTGAACTTTTTACCAACCGGAAGCGCCCACATGAGCCGCCCGGAGACAGACAGCAGCTAACGTTAGCTTAGCTCCGCGGCTAACCGGCGGCTAACCGGCGGCTAGCTCCTCTGTTAGCCAGCTAGCTGGCTCCGCCGGCTGACATTAGGTTAGTATATTTAAATCTGCTATTAGCAAAAGCTCAATGAGCTAATTCTGTATAAACAGTGAACTGACACATGATTTAAGTCGGTGTGCTTTAGCTGAGTGCAGCTAAAGCTGCTAGCAGCGTACCTTCAGCGCGATGTCCCTTAAGAATTACTGCACTTTAAACTTTCACTGCTCAAATAAAAAGCACAGTAACCGATAGGATGTAAGTCATTACTTTTTATTAATTAGTACAGTGTTCTAGTAAATTCGGCTCACACTTAAAAAAACAACTTTAAATTACACTGCCAAAATACCTGTTTTTATTCATGGTTCCTCACACCCAGCTGACATATTGCAGTGAGTGAACTGAAGAGAAAAAGACTAATATTCAACTTAGTTTACGTGAAGTGTTTGTTTCAGGTTTATTTCAGCTCCAACTTGAATTAAATAAAAACTCCTGATAGTTCTGAAATATTAGGCTCATGTGTTATAAGATAGAACAGTGCACTGAAAAACCTCATGTTTTTGAATGGAGTTTGGTTGGTGATCTCCACATAAACCAGTAGTTTCATATATTTCCAGTTAAGTGACTGGTTGGTTTAATAGCTCGAATAAGGTTAAATTCCTGAGCCCTTGAGCTAATCACTTAAACTGTTTTCCATTCAGAACCTCATTTACAAAATGTCTGATTTAAACAATGACCTTTATTTTGAGGACAGAAAACAGATTTATATTATTTTGTTGTTTTTCTTTCTTAAATTCTCAATGTTTGTTATGGAGTTCTGCTCTACTTGTAGTGAAGCGTTTCCTATGTAAAGATAAGTCTTAACAAATGTAGCATGATCAGTTTAATTCAATTAAATCAACCATTTTAACATTTTATCTAAATGTGCTTCTTCTGTAGATTTATGTGTTTAAACGGTGTAATAAAACATTATTTAATTACTCTGAAATGTCACCTGCTGTAGCTGCTGTTATTTAAAATCAAACTCTGACTTTGCTGTTGGTACATTTTGTGTGTAAAAACCTCTGTTTTTGTAATGGAGTTTGGTATGGAAACCTCCCTATGTGGTGTGATGTTCAGACAGCAGCCAGATGGGACAGTTGCTGTAGTTTTGTGTGTTTTTTGTTAGAGGTTTGGTTTGACTTTGTTTGTTCTTTTTGTCGTCAGCATGGCGTCTCCGTTTAAAATCCCCAAGAAGAAACAGCCCGCAGGTTCTGACTCGGCCCACATGCACATGCAGTCGCCCCTGTCTCGCCTCCAGAGCGCCGCCCCAGAACTTAAGGTGGTATTACTCTTCTTTTAGCGTTTCTAAAGGTGGAATGTTTTATCTGTTAATTCATTTCAAGTGTCATGACAGTGTCAGCTTGTTTAAGGTGGTCTATCTTCTTTAAGGTGGTATTACCGCTCTGTTGAGACTTTTGAGTCTTGTTTTGTCTCAACAGAGCTATGGGGGTCAGTCCAGCAGAGGCAGCGCCGACAGGATGCATGCTGGGAGCTCATTTGGCTCCTCAACAAACAGACAGAGGTTTGTAAGGCGCCCCCTACAGGCTGCGGTCTTCATTACAACATGAGTCTGAACCTGATTTCTTTGACTTCCGTTCTAAGCGAGCCTCTCTTCAGGGACGTGGTCAAAACGCTGCTGGGACTCAACAGCCCGAACCGAGGGGCGTCCACAGCCAATCACAGAGCAGCTGGAGGCTGGAGCCGCCAACCACAGCCGGGGGAGAGAGCGCAGTCGTCCTCGGCCTGTTTCTCAAACGGGTGAGTTCACAGAAGGTTTCTGGTTCTGATTCACGGCCGCTCGAGGCTCTCGGGTCCTGGTTTAGACCCGGTATTAACGCGTCCCAGTTTAGACCCGGTATTAACGCATCCCAGTTTAGACCCGGTATTAACGGGTCCCGGTTAAGACCCGGTATTAACGGGTCCTGGGTGATCCAGCTCTGAGTACAGGTCTCAGACCACATCCATGTGTTTCATGTCACCAGACTCCCTTGAAAAACCTCACAATCTTTGTTGTTTGTTGAGTGAGAAGAAACTTTACAAACAATGCCTGCAACAGATTCTTCAGCATTTTAACCTTCTTGTAAATTCAGCACATTAAACATTAACTTAATTTATGGCTGGTTTGTCCAAGCGAAGGCAGGAGAGACGCACACTTCCTGGTGAACATTTCATTATAGCTGTGATAATATAAATCACATTAGAAATTATTTATTCTGTCTAGTTAAGTAAAGTCTCAAACTTCTTATCGTTGCTGTTCCCATTTAAACAGCAGGGGGCGCTGTCTACTTATGGCTGTGTGAAGGCTCAAAGACATCAGAAAGAACACGGTTTATATATTATTATACAGAAAACTTTTTCCATTATTCCAATCTAATGTACATGCTCATATTATCCAGTGACCTGACTTTATCACCTCCCCCAGCAGGGGGCGCTAACGTCCTTCCACAGCAGACACACTGACTACAGTTTATCTCCACTGTTATTGTTATTGATCAATAGAATATGAAATATACCGAAAATGATAGAAAATGTGTTATTATTCTAAATATTGATATCAGTCCATCACTGGCTGGGAAACAACTTTGCATGAGAGATAAGAAATGAATTAAGAAATGAATTAAGAGCTTGTTTATTATTAAAGAAGTGACAGATACTCAAAATAAAGTACAGTGGAACATACATGAGCAAGAAAATGGGTCTAAATAAAGTTAGATTCAGTCAAATTAAGGAGAAAAGAAGTGAGAAATCTCCTCTTAGTGGCACTTAATTATTATTTATTATCTGTTATTGTGTTGAAATCACCCACAAACGGTTAAACTGAGCTTTCTGTTCCCCGTTTCATCCACCAGATGGCGCCCTAAGAGAGCATCAGACCGACTGCTGCAGCCTGAAGTGACCTCACAGCCTCCGTCTCCACCACAGAAGAAGAAAAGCGACGGTAAGCTTCGTTCACACAATCAGAATCATTGATCAGGTGATGGTCGACACTGATCGATTGTATTGATTTTTCCTCAGTTTGCGACGGTTCGTTCCTGCCGGCCAAAAGTATCTCTGTGCGGTCGCCGGACTCTCTGGCGGCGCTGCGAGGCGAGGAGCATGCTGGGAGAGCGTGGAGGAGGGGCGAGGACGCCGCTGAGGGGAAGGTAAAGGTCAAAGGTCATGAGTTCTCAGTGGGTGTTTTCTATGGTTAGCTGCTGTTACAGGGCGGAGGTCTGATAATAAAGTCAGTGTGAGGAAAAAGTGTGAATGTTGTTTTATGGATAAGATGATTTTAAGTGAAAGAAATGTGAAATATCTGATCTAAACAATCCTTTTCTGTTTAAAGCGAGAAACTAAATGACAACATGTTTAATTCCTTCAGAGCGACGGAGGAAACGCTGCTGACTCTCTCTCAGGTTCAGATCAGACGTCAGAAGACGACTTTGTGTCTCCGCCCAGAGCCAGAAACAAACCCCCTGCAGATAAATCTCCTTCCAGAGGCGCCCGCAGACCCTGCGTCTCCTCGGCGACCACGCCCGACAGGAGGCGGAGTCTCGACAGGACGGCGTGGCTCGCCGCCAGCAGCAACCTGCGAGACGATGTGAGGGAGAAAGAGAGACAGAAGTGGAGGGAGTTCAAAGAGAAGACGACGTCCAAGAGATCAGCCGTCCTGCAGCTCCGACTGAGGAACCCCAAACCGACTCCGACAGAACCCAGTGAGTACGACGCAGAGGTCAATACTCAATAGCATCTAGTCACATGATTAAATTAAAGTTATTGATCAGTGTATTGATCAGTGAACTGGTTGTAGTGTAGCTTTGTTCCTCTGCTGCCTGTGGACTGATCTCTATGTGTCTCTATGTAGGATGAGGGTCAAAGGTTGTGACCTTTATGCTCCCGAGTGCCAACAGTGGGCAACACAGAGTCCACAACACAGAGTCCACAACACAGAGTCCACAACACAGAGTCCACAACACAGAGTCCACAACACAGAGTCCACAACACAGAGTCCACAACACAGAGTCCACAACACAGAGTCCACAACACAGAGTCCCCAACACAGAGTCCACCACACAGAGTCCACCACACAGAGTCCACCACACAGAGTCCACCACACAGAGTCCACCACACAGAGTCCACCACACAGAGTCCACCACACAGAGTCCAAAGTCAAAGCTAACATTAATGCTAAGCTAGTGGAACATATTGTCTGGTTGTGCTGTTAGCTCGATAACGTTAGCTTGATTGCTAACTAATATTATCGTTAGCAAACTACTATCTGAGTGGATATCAGAGAACGTCTAATAATGAGAGAACTTCCACTCTCAGTAAACTTCCGGGTTCTGAACTGTTGCAGTTCCCCTCTGGCTCCATGTGAGGGCGCTCACAGGATGAGTGCAGAATGAATGGAGCTCTATGGAGCTATACCCTCACAATCCTCTTCTCTCAGGATATCATTGTTTGTCTAGTAATTTGAATGTTGCATTCGAAAGGGGACGCAAAGAAATGACACATTGCTGGGTGTTAGATTGTTTAGAGTCACTTATTTTCTTTAAAAAGTCTTTTAAAATGTCAGTGACGTCACACACATCGTACGGCCAGAGATACCGCTTTACAGCGAGCCTCGAGTCTCTTTGTGCTTCGACGACACAGACGTAACGATCGGCAGATAAAAGTACAAGCAACACAAAAAAGTTTCTGTGTTCAAAAAAAGAACTTGGGCAAAAAAATCTGCCTTAACATTGTGGTCCTGGTTCGGATGCCACGATGCCATCAAGCAGGATCTCTGGTCGTAATCAGTCCTTCACTGACCAATCAGCGTTCATTAGCAGAATGCTAGCGCGTTATGGGCAACAACAACTCGTCCTGTAAGAAATCTAAAGGACATCAGAACTCGTTCATTCAGCTTTCGACCTATAACCCATGTTGAACTTTAAAAACTACAATCACATCTGAGATCTCTCAACCACAATCAGGTGAAAGAGACAAACGTAGCCGTCTAGCTCCATCTGCTCCCATTCATTCTGCACTGATGGGAGAGCGCCCCCAGTGGACCTCTGCTGGAACTGCAACCAGTGTTTGGTACAATGGGACCTTATAGGGAGAGGCCAGGCTCTCCGTAGACGGGCTCTGGTGGATATGTTAGTTGGCTAACGTTAGCTTCCCCAGCTATCCATGATACTAACTTATGTATTCTGACAAACGGTGTTGATTTTAGCCAACAATAGCTGACTGCAGTTCACTGAACGGCCACTGGTGGCGCTGTTCACAACAGTTTAACGACATTTTGACAGATATTGATTGAGTTTATTGATGATCTTTCAGTTGTGCTGTCGAGTGAAGAGGAAGAGGAGGATGATGGAGATGGAGGGATGTTGCAGAGCAGCAGCCGGGTGGAGGATGAGCAGGTACACGTAGGAGACACACCTGAGACAGACCTCTACACCTGAGACAGACCTCTACACCTGAGACAGACCTCTACACCTGAGACAGACCTTAACACCTGAGACAGACCTCAACACCTGAGACAGACCTCAACACCTGAGACAGACCTCAACACCTGAGACAGACCTCAACACCTGAGACAGACCTCTAACACCTGAGACAGACCTTAACACCTGAGACAGACCTCTACACCTGAGACAGACCTCTACACCTGAGACAGACCTCAACACCTGAGACAGACCTTAACACCTGAGACAGACCTCTAACACCTGAGACAGACCTCAACACCTGAGACAGACCTTAACACCTGAGACAGACCTTAACACCTGAGACAGACCTTAACACCTGAGACAGACCTTAACACCTGAGACAGACCTCAACAGAGCAGAGTTATCCTGAAGTATCTGATTGTCTGTAAGGAATGTGGTAATAACAGAGTCTAATCTGGGAAACAGAAACCCAGATTAGACTTCGAGCAGCCAGGTCCTTCCTCACAGAAACACTGGGGCAGTGAAATCCCTCCGACAGCCCTACGTGACTCATGTTCAATGACAGCAGGCTTTAATTTAGTCCACCTGCAGCTGTTCTGGTGCCAGAGGCGATGTGGAGAAAGCTGCTTTGTACCACAAAACCTTCATCTGGTGGACTCGCGTAGTCTCCTGGCACATCGCTTTAATGTGCTTTTAAAACCACCTGTTCACTGCGTTTCAGTGGAATCGCTGCATCTTTCTTGGAACTTTATTTCATCTGTTTCACAGAGGAAACGTTGACAATCCTCGACCTAGAGTTTAACTAAACAACATAATGTGGGAACAAGATATCTATAAATGTAAATAAGATCATTTTTGGGAACAAGATCGTATTTTTTACGCACAGAAAACAAATATATGTGAACAAGAACAAGATATCAGTAAATATATATATATATTATAATAACTGGATATAACAAACTGTTGATAAATGTGAAGAAGATATCAACCCAGGGCTCCAGACTAACTTTTTGCATTGGTTGCACTGGTGCAACTACATTTTTTTTTTAGGTGCACCAGCACAAAATGTAGGTGCACCCAAATTTTTCATTGCGTCGCCTTTAACGCCATAAGGTCACCTTTTTATTTTTCTCAATAATTTCCATATAATGTGAATGATTTTTAAACAAGGTGTCGAGAAATTCTTGTCTTTATTTGAAGCACAATTATATATAAAAAGAAAAATAAAGTGTTTAAAGTGCTTCACTGAGCTGAAATTGAACATTTCAAATTAAAACACTAAGCAAAATAAAACATTTCCAAATAAAAGTGCTTGTGCTTAAATTGCTTCACTGAGCTGAAATTGAACATTTAAACTCAAACATTTCAAGTAAAATAATTATTAATGATAATAATAATGATTACTACTACCTGCTGCTGAATTGCAGCTGGGAGAGGGATCACTTTCTCTACACACACTTGTCACAGCATATCCTGTGTTTTTTAGACATGTTATGTTTTTTTAAAGTCGGTTGTCTCCTCTGGTTCCGAGTCGGATGCTGTCGCCGAAGGACCGGGGCTTGGTATCTCACCAGGGACCAAGGGCTCCGTGTCTTGACGGGATGGACTCTCAGTAGTGGGGATGGATGGGACTATAGAAGTAGGGCTGGTTGTAGGCTTGGTTTTCTTAATGAAAAAACTTTAAATATTTCTGCCTCTCTTCATTTTCCCTCGTTTTGTCGTGTTTATTTTATTTTTCCGTTTCAGGTCGTCAGCTATTCTGGCGCTCAGGTCGCGCGCAATTTTTAAACACACGCAACTTAGCACGGTGAACAGGACCACAGCCAATCAGAGGCAAAGACCCACCCGAGCTCTGTCTCTTATTGGTTTAGAACACGATATGATCCTACCATGAGTGTGTGAGTTCGCTCACAGGAGAACACAGAGAGATGATGCGCTTGCGAAATAAATTGTGTTGTGATTTCACCCGGGCAGCGTCAGGTGCACCAGTGCGATCTAGAAAAATTATTAGTCGCACTCTTAAAAATTTTGGTCGCCCTATGGAGGCCTGTATCGACCCCATATTTTGGGGGCTTTTTGCCTTTATTGGAGAGGACAGCTGAAGATTGAAAGGGAAGAGGGAAGAAGGGGGGGTAACATGCAGCAAAGGGCCGCAGGCCAGATTTGAACCCGTGGCCGCTGGTGCACAGGACGCCGGGGTAACGGTCATCTTGTGTGGTTGAGATAATAATTTATTAACGCAATAATTATCTTGGTAATTTCTGATCGTAATAAGGTTTCTGGTGATTCCCATCTTATGTGAAACTGGTCCCTCTGGTGTGTTCCCAGTCCAGCCCGGTGGGGCCCAGAGGACTGACCCAGTTTTGGTCTCTGTTGCATGTTTGAGGTTGAAGTGAGTCATGTAGTTTGTTTGTGGGTTTGCAGGCCTGTAAACAATCGTCAGAGCCTCTAAAGCAGATCCAGATTGGACCTGAACGGACTGCTGAGTGTTTGTTGGTGTGTTTACTGACGCCGATCTACAAACCAGCTGCAAGTCTTAATAAAAAGATCTTTTTGTCCCTTCACAGGGGAAGTGTTTCTTTATTAAAGCTTAATGTGACCCACATATCTGCTTGTTGACCAAAGACAGTCCTCAAACAATCCGCTTTCAAGAATCTTCTTCTTTTTACTAGTTATTGTGTCAGATGGGGTTTTTATTGACCAGATTTGTTTTATTTTTGTTTACCCCGTTGGCTGTTTGATATCCGACATTTCTTTAGCTTATTTAGAACATTTTTCTCTTTTTGTCCCGATGAAAGCCAGAAATCTCAACTAATGCGGAACAGATGTTCGCTGTGAACATCGCAGAGGAGACGCTTTACTTTCCCCAGCGCCACCACGTGGTTTCTCCAGGGTCTGCCAAATCTCCCCTCTACCAGCGGGGCAAGAATGAGTGAATGTGAACAAGATATCAGTGAATGTGAACGAGATATCGGTGAATGTGAACGAGATATCGGTGAATGTGAACAAGATATCGGTGAATGTGAACAAGATATCGGTGAATGTGAACGAGATATCGGTGAATGTGAACAAGATATCAGTGAGTGTGAACAAGATATAAAACATTAGATTTTACGCCTTTTTTTAAAAATATGACTTTATTTCAGAGTCAATTTAAAATACTTTTATATTTCTATATATATGATTCAATGTGTTATCTGTGTACCTGTGTGTTGTCTGACAGGGTGAACAGGCTCGTTCTTCTAAAGGTGAAACAGACGACTACAAGGCGCCGCCACCTTCGTTCATGCAGCTGGAGTTCGTCTCGCTTCATGCTGGCCTGACGCACGCCGACGCCAAGGGGGAGATGATGGTGAGTACGGCTGAATCTGAGCACATTTACTCTCCTGATGCAGGTTCACAACATCCAGCAGCTTCTAAGATCCAGTTGAGACTCACTATGGTGTGTTTGAGAATATACCTTCTCATAAAATGACTGAAATATAATGAATAACTATAATGTAACAAGGATATCGGAGAGAATAACAAGTGCTTCCTCAGTGTAAACACTCCCACTGGTGTGTTTGCTGTCAAGTGGCTGATGTTGGACGTTTAACTTCAACACTTTCTGCTAGTTTCTCTTTTTCCATGTCCTGTTCCAACACACACACACACACACACACACACACACACACACACACACACACACACACACACACAGAAATAATTGGTGTACTGCGAGCACTTTGGAAAACACATGTGAATTATTAAAACAGCACAGCAACAGAAACTAATTACAGGCCAATCGAATATATGTGTGTGCGCGCGTGTGTGTGCGCGGGTGTGTGTGTGCGTGTGTGTGTGTGTGTGTGTGTATTATAGAAAAATACAAACAGAAAAATGAGCAACAGTGCGGCTCTGAATTCATTTTGGCATTTAAAACACCAAACTGTCATCGCGGCAACAGTGGAGGTGGCGAAGTGGGCAGCGAGTCAAGTATTCGGTGCAACAGCTCGGTTTGTTGTGGTGTCCAGGGGGGGGGGAAGACCCGTAAACCGTTAACATTTCAGACTTTAATGAGCAATTAAGACGACGTTTGGGAATGATCGGGTTCAATTAGAGCGCCGTAAAAACACGGGAGGTCAGGAGAGTAGGAGGTTAGTGGGTCAGCATGTCAGCCAACCACACGCAGAGAATCTGACTACAAACAGGAAGACGTTCATCTTTGTTTTTATGCTTTTCATCACTTAAGGAATCGTTCCTGAGCGTTAAAATTATCCACTCGGCCCATAGGGAAGATTTAAAACGTATTTCACAAGGAACAAGTTAATATTATTATTATATTATGAAACGTATTAATAAATGATCTGGCATCCTTCTGCTGCTGTTTCCATCTTTCTCTTTTGTCTGTCTAGATCACTGAGAATGGAATCACGATTCCTCTGAAAGGTAACAAAATATTTCTTCTGTTTTTAATCTCGATTCTTCTGGATTTCACAAAATCATTTCATTACACATCAGTTTAATAACTCAGTTTTTTACATTAGATCTTTGATAAAGTTTGAGTTTTATGACTTTGTTCTTGTAATATAGTTTTTCTCTGAATATCAGTTCAATTCTTAAAATATTATGACAAACTTTAAAAGCTTATTTCAGTGTTTTTTTTTGTAAAATAACTTTTTCTTAAAATATTTCACATTAATTATTTTGAAGTTGTTTCATTAAATTGGATCTAATCTAGATCACATCGAGTCCAATACGTAAACTGTCTGTCTGTTAGGAGCGGAGGAGGGGGAGGTCACCGTGGTGGCGTCTCAGGTTCGTGGTTACGGTGTTTGGGACGGGGGCGTGGCTCAGGACGGGGCTCTGTTGGCTGGTTGGAAAGGTCCCGCCCCCTCGCTGCTCTTCCTGTGGGTGAGTGACGCTCAGGCCAACCTGCTGCAGATGGAGCTGTCCGCCATCCAGACCTCCAGCAGCACTTCAGGTAATCAGATTACTTACTAACACTAGACTGAACGCTGTAAAATAACTGACAATCATATTTAGAATAACGTTACTATCTGCAATGTTCCTATATTATATTTGGACCGTTAGCTCCATGCTAATAACTAGCTCGCCGTTTACAAATCAGCCATCAGCCAACACCACGAAGCAACCAACACCAGACCCACAATGCAACACCAAGATACAGCCAGCCGGACAACCTTAGCTTAGCTTACAGTTAGCTAGCTGGATGCCCCTAGCTAGCTAGTTAGCAAACAAGCTAACGTTATCCTGCTAACAGCACAATCAGACAATATGTTCCACTAGCTTAGCATTAATGTTAGCTTTGACTTTGGACTCTGTGTTGGACTCTGTGTTGTGGACTCTGTGTTGGACTCTGTGTTGGACTCTGTGGTGGACTCTGTGTTGTGGACTCTGTGTTGTGGACTCTGTGTTGTGGACTCTGTGTTGTGGACTCTGTGTTGTGGATTGTGTGGACTCTGTGTTGGACTCTGTGTTGTGGACTCTGTGTTGTGGACTCTGTGTTGTGGACTCTGTGTTGGACTCTGTGTTGTGGACTCTGTGTTGGTGTGTTGGACTCTGTGTTGGACTCTGTGTTGGACTCTGTGTTGGACTCTGTGTTGGACTCTGTGTTGTGGACTCTGTGTTGTGGACTCTGTGTTGGGCTGTGTTGGACTCTGTGTTGTGGACTCTTGTGGTGGACTCTGTGTTTGGACTCTGTGTTGGACTCTGTGTTGTGGACTCTGTGTTGTGGACTCTGTGTTGTGGACTCTGTGTTGTGGACTCTGTGTTGGACTCTGTGTTGGACTCTGTGTTGTGGACTCTGTGTTGTGGACTCTGTGTTGTGGACTCTGTGTTGGACTCTGTGTTGTGGACTCTGTGTTGTGGACTCTGTGTTGTGGACTCTGTGTTGGACTCTGTGTTGTGGACTCTGTGTTGTTGGACTCTGTGTTGTGGACTCTGTGTTGGACTCTGTGTTGTGGACTCTGTGTTGTGGACTCTGTGTTGGACTCTGTGTTGGACTCTGTGTTGGACTCTGTGTTGTGGACTCTGTGTTGGACTCTGTGTTGTGGACTCTGTGTTGGTCTCTGTGTTGTGGACTCTGTGTTGTGGACTCTGTGTTGTGGACTCTGTGTTGGACTCTGTGTTGTGGACTCTGTGTTGGACTCTGTGTTGGACTCTGTGTTGGACTCTGTGTTGGACTCTGTGTTGTGGACTCTGTGTTGTGGACTCTGTGTTGTGGACTCTGTGTTGGACTCTGTGTTGGACTCTGTGTTGGACTCTGTGTTGTGGACTCTGTGTTGGTCTCTGTGTTGTGGACTCTGTGTTGCCCACTGTTGGTACTCGGGAGCATAAAGGTCACAACCTTTGACCCTCATCCTACATAGAGACACATAGAGATCAGTCCACAGGCAGCAGAGGAACAAAGCTCCACTACAACCAGTTCACTCTCTGCTCACACACACTGATTATACAGAGAAATCACCCCTACAGTCATGAACACACACATTAAGAGCAAGCTGTTGTCCTGCACACACTGAGGTATAAACAGTATTATGTTGGCACAGTTAGAAAAACTTGATGTAGTTTCCATCATCACAGTTTCCACCCAGAGAGCAGTAGAAACACAGCGAGCTCTCACTCTGACGCTGTTTCCTTGAACTGTAAAAGTCGTCTGAGACCACAACGGAGTGAAATAAGAGCGTCATTGAACTCCAGCCTGTAGAGAGCCCTCTGTCTCACAGACAATCTCTGCTGCAGGATTTTCTCAATGAAAGCTTCACTGGAGCTCCGAGGCTTCATGGAAAATTAACTTTTGACAACCTGTGCAGCACTGGGCAGGAACCAAACAGCCAATCAGGAGGCTTCTCTTCAGCCAGCCACCAATCACAGGACAGCTGGAGCGCAGTGTGTGTTCGAACGGGGAAAACACTGATCGCTGCCAAAGTCCTGAACGAATACTCACCATGTTTCTGTCAGCCAGAGACTGGACCAGTGTACGGCCAGACTGGGTGAACTGGACCAGTGTACGGCCAGACTGGGTGAACTGGACCAGTGTATGGCCAGAGATTGGACCAGTATACGGCCAGAGACTGGACCAGTGTACGCAGGGGCGCCACCAGGAATTTTGGGCCCCATGACAAAAAAATCTAATTGGGCCCCCGCGCAGCTGTTGTCACCACATCTCTAGGACCTAACTGTCCCATCAAAAAAGGCTTGCAACTGTCTTGCTTCTTGTAGTTCAATACGAGTACTAGAACAATATTTACTGCTGGTGAGTTGTACATGCATGCAAGTCTGCATACAGTGTGCAGTTCACTATCTGATGCAAGATTAAAAGCAACCATAAAATGCATACTCACTGTTTCCAACTGTCCAGCATCCAGTACAGACAGTAGGTTGTTGTTTTTTTATTTGATTTCATAATGATCATTATGGAAGAAAATAATTGTTATTAATGTGTTGGAATTTCTGTCATTAATAAATATTTCATTTTCTTTTTTGTAATGGTAAAAAGAGCAAGAGAGAAATCCCCACAGACTCCCTGCAATGATGCTAACTGGCCTGTCATTGAACACAACGTTGCTCAGCTTCTTCACTGGGACAGGGAGGGGTACAGTGATGGGGGGGGGGGGGGAGGGGGGGGGGGGGGGGGGGGTGATGGGGGGACAGGGAGGGTACAGTGATGGGGGGACAGGGAGGGGTACAGTGATGGAGGGACTGGGAGGGGTACAGTGATGGGGGGACAGGGAGGGGTACAGTGATGGGGGGACAGGGAGGGGTACAGTGATGGGGGGACAGGGAGGGGTACAGTGATGGGGGGACTGGGAGGGGTACAGTGATGGGGGGACAGGGAGGGGTACAGTGATGGGGGGACAGGGAGGGGTACAGTGATGGGGGGGACAGGGAGGGGTACAGTGATGGGGGACTGGGGGGGTACAGTGTGGGGGGACTGGGTACGTGTGGGGGACAGGGGTACGGATGGGGGGACGGGGTACGTGATGGGGGACTGGGAGGTCAGTGTGGGGAGACGGGGGGGTGTGATGGGGGACAGAGGGGAACGTTGGGGACAGGAGGGGTACGTGATGGGGACAGGGAGGGTACGGATGGGGGGTCAGTGATGGGGGACTGGGAGGGGTACAGTGATGGGGGGACAGGGAGGGGTACAGTGATGGGGGGACTGGGAGGGGTACAGTGATGGGGGGACTGGGTGCTGCTGACTCATCTGTTGTTAAGTCTGCTAAAAGGGACAGGGACAATGATTTAATATGAATATGTTGCTAAACGTTTCCCTGAACTGATTAATGGTGATTAAATGTAGGCTGACACTAGTCTGTAGCTGTATCTTATTTCCCTATGGACATTAAGCCAACAGGTTAATACCACTCACAGACTATAGGCTCCTTTCTTGGTGAAACACTGGGTTACATCCTTTCCTTTGTCTTTCCTCTCTCTCTTTTCTCTCTTTCCTTTTTTGAAAACCAGATGTTGATTTACTAGTAAACACTGTGATCACTGTAGTTCTGGCTCATCTACTGACTGCAACTAAACACCGTCACTGATAAGTGCACTAAGGCAGGACCAAACCATTTCATGCAGAGACTGGGGGGTGGTCGGTCAATATGGATGTTTAACTTTTACTGCCAAAAACAAGTAAAAACAAAGAGATCATTCATTTTATTATTATCTTTAAAATATATATACTGAATGATGATGGTTTAATAATTTTATTTTAGTTTTTACCTATTTTTTGGGGCCCCTGTCAGTCATGGACCCTTGAAATTGTCCTAACACAGTATATGGCCAGAGACTAGGTGAACTGGACTGATATGTTTAATACAAACTGGTAAAACTGGTCCAGTCTCTAACGTCTTCTTTGTTCTCCTGGTTCTTTAGGTCCATCATGCTCCTTCCTCCTGCTGGTGTTGAAGGGGCAGCTGCAGGAGCTCCAGGCCGCCCTTCTGGCCTCCATCCTGGACATGGAAGAGTACAGGAGGGGCTGCTCCTCCTCCTCCAGCAGACCCACCTCCCCTCTGGAGTGGACCGACGGGCTGCTGCTCCTCCACAGCTGTCCTCCTCCTCTGGACCAGCACCTCCTCGGATTGCTGGGACACTCCACGGTGAGACTCCTCATCCTCCCTCCTTTCCTTCCTTCATTCTGTGCCTCCTTCCCTCCTTTGCTTCCTTTGCTACACCGATGTGTCCTTTTTGTTGCCTCCTCCTCATTCGTCCTTTTTATGAGCCCGTTAGCTGATGGCGCCGGCGGCTCAGAGCTGATGAGGTGACTCCTAGAGGAGGAGTAAAACCCCCTCCATGAAAATGTACAAAAATAAACAGTTGTTAATCTGTTTCAGTAGAAATCGAGTCCGCTGAGAAACAACCAGAGAAACAAGATGTCCTCCGGTCTGCAGCAGCTTCCCACCAGGTAAAACCAACACAACCAGAACCAGAACCAGGATGACTGTAAACAACCAGCAGATAAAACAATAAAAGAGTTCACTAGAAGTCCTCTGACTGAGCCCTCCGTATGTGGCCTTCAGGTTGATCCAGTATCCGGCGGCGCCCTGCAAAGGCCGGATCACGGTGACGAAGGAGGACCTGGCTTGTCTGGGCGGCGGCGAGTTCCTCAATGACGTCATCATCGACTTCTACCTCAAGTCAGTCTGTCAGACGAGAATAATTAAATGATTTGTGCAAAAATACATTTTCACTTGCTAAACTCCAGAATGGGGTTTTTGGGATCCCCAGACCAGGGTTGGGGCGTCCTGAAAGAAATATGATCCCATAAAAACATGAGTTTTAACATTTTAATGCACTAATGGTGGTTATCATGCCAGATTTTAGGGGGCGCTGCAGCCCCACACGTCTGGAAAACCTAACTTTACTTCATGCAGACGACGTTCTTTTATTATTATCTGACCACTTGATCATTTCTGGGTATGAAGTCAGTTTTCAGAATTTATTTGAAACTCAAAGTGTCTTGTCCATGAAATATATTTATAGGGCCAGTCTGTATCCTGACTCGTCTCCTCCTCCTGCAGGTACCTCCTTCTGGAGGGAGTCGGTGGCCCCGTGGCTGAGCGCAGTCACGTCTTCAGCAGTTTCTTCTACAAACAGCTGAGCAGACGAAGAGCCGCCGGAGAGAACGATGCCCCGTCTGTCCCGTAAGAACACAACTCAGACAAAGCTGTGATGTTATTGACTCATTGATTGTTATAAAACATTCAGGGCTTGAACTCCTAATAAATATAGCTGCAAGTGACCGTAATGCACATCATTTCCTGTCATTGAGTTTCTAGATCATTCTAGCTCAGAAGAGGTTGATAACAAAACAATTATATGAATCCCAATGTTTCCAATAATTAAATGTCTTCTTTCTTTGTTTTTTCAGCGACCGCCACACAAGGCACCAGCGAGTAAAGACGTGGACTCGCCATGTCGACATTTTCACCAAAGACTTCCTGTTTGTGCCTGTTAATCAAGAGTAAGAGAGCGTTTGTGTGTAGTTGTGTAAAAGCTGGAGGTGGAAGTGAGCCTTTACCCTCTCTGACCGCCCATTAATAAAAAAAAACTCCTGACTCCAGGGTTCCACTCTGAGTCCCAGATTTAAAGACGCCAGTTTGGAGTTTTGACCTCTGTTGAGACGTTTGAATAAAAACCGTAATTCTACTTTAATTCAAGCACCTCATCACTGTGTGTACCTGCCAACTGGGTAACAGACCGACTGACTGGAGTCACCTCTGCCCAACCATTTCTGACTCTTCTCAATGACTTTTGCAGAGCTGCTTCTCTCTGCTCTTTTATTGTTTTACCCAAATCAGCAGAGCTTCACTCAGAAATACCTTCATCACTTCCTCCTGGATTATTGGTTGATCATTGAAGTTGCAGCTTTTCCTGTGATGAAATTTACAATCTATCAATATTCTGATCAATAGAATCCATAAAGTGTATTCTGTAGTAACTTTACATTGGGTCTCCTCAGCTGGCTCCGTGTCCGTTGTAGCTGCTGTCGACGAGTACAAAATCGTCTAAAGTCATGTAGTCTGAACTCGGCATTAGCGAACTAATTATACTTTTTTTTTTTTCAATCGCTGTTAATATACTGAACACTTCCTGCAGATGTTTCACATTAAAAGCCTTCCATCCCCCTTTTTCTGGAGGGCTTTCATAGTAAAAATCAGCCAGATGTAACTGAAACAGCACTAATGACACCATTAATGTGTATTTGTATTTTCTGTGTTCATAGAGCTCACTGGTACCTGGTGGTGGTCTGTTTCCCGGGTCTAGAGAAGGACCAGTACGAGGACTTTCAGAGCCCAACAGGTGAACTGCTGCTGTTTGTTTTCTGATTTACCTCCATAGAATAAAGTGTCTCTGGCAGCCTCCGTAATGCTACAGAGCCTCTGTAATCGTCACCAGACGTGTTGTTTAACATCCTTCAGGGAGACGTTTTTGGGTATTTGTGGCGCTGGCAGCATGTGGGAATTACACATCAATTCACACCAAAAAATTAAAGGATTACATGTTCCAGACATAAATATCTCCCTCTCTGAAGACACTAAGCTCCAACATTTGGTGTGAATTGTGTGACTTTTTATCCTTATTGTCTGTAAATAAGCTTACAAAGAAAGGAAAAACTGAATGGAAATGACATCTCGTAGAGAATCCATTGAATGCTCCAACAGTCTGATTTTTCTTTTTCAACTTATTTTCCCTTCAGATCGGTGCTTTCCTCTGAATACATCGTGTCTGTGTAAAAGCTCCCTCAATGAGCCTCTTCGTTGCTTTTAAGCACACCTTACTATAGGAGCAGTTTAGTTTGGTTAAAGGAGGTTAAAGCAGAGATTGTTTTGTTCTCAGGTGGATCAGAGCGAGCTGCAGGAAAACCATCCCTCAGTCTGAGATCACAGCAGCAACCGGTAAATGCAGACAGACTCTCTACTCTAAAATGGGTCTTTGGACAAGTTGTTTTCTATATAACATGAACATGTGTCTCTGTAGGAGTGCGTCCAGCGTGGCTGCTACAGGGACAGAGTGTTAAAGAGGTGAGTTGTCAGCAAAGAAACTGATCCTGCAAACTCAAAACTTTGGTTTTATTTTGATCCGATGTGTCTCAGGTCAGGTTGCTTAATATCTTTGTTTTTTCCAGGCCGTGTATACTCGTCATGGACTCGCTGAAGCTGTCGTACCACGAGAACGTCTGCAGACTCCTCAGAGAGTGAGTGTCAGTTCTGTAGCGGTCGCTTATAAAGACGGGTTTCTCTTAGAGAAGAAATCTGAATGATGCTGTTGTACAGTAATCAGTGAGGCCATAGATGTCTGTAACACATCGGCCCTCAGAAACACTTCACACTATACACTCTAGTATACGCCCCCGAGCGCAGGATGAATCATCAACTACTTTTATTGATCCTTAGGAAACTCTGAAATACCATTAAGAACACTAGAAAATACCTGAAACAGGACTTCCTGTCCCTGTTGGACAGATACTGGGGGACAGGAGACGTATAAAGACAGAGGAGATAAACACATTAATCTGACTTCATGGACACTTTCAGATTACAAACGCTGCTGATACGTAAATTCAAAGTGAAGTTCTTCTGATGCCTTCGCTGTGTTTAGCTACCTGCAGGTGGAGTGGGAGGTCCGGAGGGCGACGCCTCGTCGGTTCACGCCAGACAACATGATGAGCTCCAACTGCCGGGTTCCTCAGCAGGACAACAGCAGCGACTGTGGTCTCTACCTGCTGCAGTACGCCGAGAGCTTTCTGCAGGTATGCAACCACATCATAACATCATCCAAACACTACAGCCTCCGACTGCTGCAGAATAACAATACAACAATACAAATACACAGATTTCCTGCTGCAAACGGTGATTGTTTTTATGAGCAATTAAGCTTAAGTTTATTTTTAGGATTAATCAATTAACAATACAATCAAAATAATAGATTATTTGTTGATTGATTAATTGTTGCGACTCTGGTCAAATTATTGATATTACAACAAGACCTTTTTCACAGCAGCCATTTTATAATTAACATCTATATTTTTAAAGTCATTGTTTTCCGACTCACATATGCACAATGCGCTCCGGCTATCTTCGCTTTCTAACGTTTGCTGTGTTTGAATATTGGTGATTGCTGTATATTTATACTAACACTGTGGGTGACAAGAAACGGACGCAAAGATCGGACAACATTCGGTTCAAACAATAATTTTAGTGTATTTCATGATTTTGCAACGAAAATGCCACCTTGTGGTCGTTTGGTGCCAAATTCCAACGTCCTCCTCTCTGAATCGAGCTCTCTGATTGGCTCCTCAGAACCCGGTGGTGCACTTCAACCTCCCGTTGGGTTTGGACAACTGGTTTCCGCGGCAACTGGTGCGACAGAAACGCGAGGAGATCCGGAGTCTGATAATGAGGATGCACCGGAGTCAGAGCGACGAGAGCTGAAAGGACCAAACCCGCCGAGCCGTTAACTCACAGTGCAATAAATAATTTATACTGTTTCTACCTGGTTTTTACTTTAAATCTTAATAGAATAAAATTTCTTACAAAAATATTTAATTGTTTTTTTATTTGTGAATGTAAATTACTTCTTATCAATCCTGTTTATTTCTTCCCGTTTTATTTATTTTCATTTTTGGCTCTTATTTTGAAACCTGAACTGATTTATAAAGATTTCTGGACTCTGATTGTCGCTATAAAAAGATCTGACAATAAATGTTCAATTGTTTAGTTATTTGGTGTTTTTGTGCTTATTTATAAACTGCAAACATACAAAACTCACAAAACTTCTGCTGCTTTCTCTTTTATAAAGTAACCTTATTTGGCTCTTATTTTGAAACCCAAACTGACTTTAAACGAGATGTCAATTTGCATTAAAACCTCCTCCAATAAATATTGACTACGATAACGTCCTACATTCCCAGAGTTCCACAGTAGACCGTTTTTGCCAGATGACTCTTAATGTGAACAAACAACAAACAACGAGGACATTAAGAGCGACACATAGAGACGTTAACGTTCCTGCCGCATGGAGAGAAATCGACAGAAGACATAACGAGATGGTGAGGTCGTTAAAAGACGTAGATCTGAAATATCCGATATTTCAATGTGTGAATAAGTTTGCTCTCAGTGACTCGATTCATAATTCATACGACCTCTAGAGGGCGCCGCCACTGCCACGTTAACATGTTGCTGTATCTATGTATATATCTTCCATTTACCTCCTTCCCTCCTTTCTTATCATTCACTACTCTTCTTCTGTGGTGTGTGTGTGTGTGTGTGTGTGTGTGTGTGTGTGTGTGTGTGTGTGTGTGTGTGTGTGTGTGTGTGTGTGTGTGTGTGTGTTTGTCTTTTGTGGTTTAGTGGAGCGCCCCCCTGCTGAGGACCAATCAGCTTACAGCTCATTAATTGGATAAGAGTGGAGGGCTACAAGGCTGACGAGAACAACAAGCAAACAACACTGATTAAAACAGAACGCACAATCAGTAATCAATTATAACTGATATTGATCCTGATGCTATACAGCTGTAATCAGGAATAATGACATGAATTTCAAACCTGTTAATAAATGTCGGTGGAACCACATTAAGACCACATTATATACGGTTTAGTGTTTATTAAGGTTTATATGCTGCTTATTATTGATCAGCATTAATAAAGTCCACAGAAAAACAAACACATTTTATATCGGGACAAACTTTTCATTCATTTACAAGAGTTACATAGAATGTCATATATACCAGTCTGGACCCCGGTCTGGTCCCAGTCTGGGCCCTGGTCTGGCCTGGTGTGGTGCTACAGTGGATGGTAGTGAGGTCGTGTTTTCCCCCGGCGGTCGAAGATTTGGATAATCTGAACGATGGGAGGTTCAGATTAGACAGATTTAGGACCTCCATCTTGAGGACTCAGGAGACCTCAAGATGGAAAACTGATCCTGGCTCTCAGCTGGAGTCCGGCTCCAGGATGAAACCAGCTCGGACCAAGAACCAGAAGGACTGTCAGCAGGTCCAGTAATATAATATAATAATCACAGCGTTGATAAAGGAACTCTCTGAGACGATGGCGGGATAATAACCTCCCCTCGCTCCCCTCGCTCCTCTCGCTGCTGTTAATCCCATCATCCAATAAAAGATGTCTGCTATTGTTGACGGCCTGCTGCAGCGGGGGGTCACAGTCTGGACGAGGACGAGTCTAATTATAGGAGCCGGACTGAGGGAGGCGCTTCAGTTACTGATGTATCGTCTGTCTGCTGGGACTCTATAATGCGCAAAACAAATCCATTAGCATTCAATGAGGACTGTTAGACAACATATATAATAATAATATTTTAATATTTATTAGTTTCATTACCTGTCCCGAAACTACAGAAAAAATATTTTTATAAAATTTTTATGCTTAATTTGGGGAAAATTCAGTCAAAAATGCTTTATAAAATTACTAAATATGACTTTTATTATTCTTTTATTATTAATAATTACATTAATACTGAAGACATTTTGTCATATGTAACTGTTAATTGAACAATCATAACTTGACGCATTAAAGTTTTCTCTAATAACAGCGAGTTATTTGCCATACAAATACAAACTACATTTTGATCTTTTAAAATATCGTTTCTGTCTTTCCAAGCTAATTTTTGTTTTCCAGATATATTATTAATACGTTTTTATGGTATTAAAATGAATGGTTAATGGTTCAATAACAAACATATCGTCACGTTCCTGAACCGTTTTTGTAAAATGTCCATATGAGCTTGGATTATTATATAATATATAATATATAAACTGACCTGAAACAAGGTTAAAGGAAAGAGTGCAGCAGAGTTTCACCTTTGTCCTTTTAGCGCTTTATGTGACCTCTGACCACGTTCAGGTAATCCACGGCGATCAGCGCGCCACAACGACCACCTGGCTGATGATCTGACCGCCGCCCCTACTGGATTCTGGCTCAATTCTGGCTGGGTCCAGGTTTTTGGGAATCACTACGGTTACTACTTTGTCATTATTTTTATGCACAGTACAAATCAAAAGATTATTTCTTTATTTCGAATTTGGTTGTTTCCTCAAAGAACCAACAATCCTCCAGGAAATAAACCAAACTTTTGTTAAAAATGTGCAGGTTTTAAACAAACAAATGTGAGTATTTCACACTGTTGAGCAGAATTTGTCCTTTAGTGGTACTTTATTATTATTATTATTTACAGCAACCGATTTACCATTTAATCAGTCTGTAATGTAGTCGGAAGCAGGACATACGTGGGCAACAATAACTGTTATAACTTATTGTATGAAGACTTATTTTATTATTATACAGCTGCTTTGTAATAGATACAGTTGTATAGATATTATAGAGTATACAACTACATTATAGAGTGTTATTAACTGTTTATTACAGCTTTACTTACTGATTATAAAGGCTGAATATGTTTACTGCTAATTAATTATTCTGCTTTTCACTTTAAAGATTTTAAAACATGAAAGATGATTTGTAGATTCATCAGTTTTACCATTTATTGGAAGTTAAAAGCATCACTTACACTGTTGACTCATGGGAAGTTAACCTTTGTAGAAACACTTCTATCCTACCTAAACTTTCTCACAGTTTAACTTTTTGAGGCTGAACTGTCGTATAAACTCGGGTCCTGAGTGTCGACACAATCAGCCTGTTTGTTTGATTTCCTTTAAGCAACGCTGACCTGCTGCACCGGTGCACCGCCGCTCTGACAGTCATCCACTCCAGCAGCTTAACAAATAGGATTAGAGCAAAGAGAAAAAAATCTCCCCCAGCAGTAAAGTCCCATCTGCTCACCTGAGAGCAACGAGCAGCCCGGCGACGCCACGTCAGGAACGTCCCGAGCTCTGGACAGCGCCCGTTATAGCCAGTTTTATTCTGACCATGCGCTCTGGTGGATGGACGACTGCGAGAAAGCAGCTGCTGATGAGCTGAGGAGGAGGAAGTGAGAAGCAGTGAGTCCGGGGCCGGACGTTAAGACTTTTTTGAGAAATGGCAGGAAAGTGCGGGAGGTTGGCACTGTGGGCTCTCGGCGCAATGCTGCTGTCGGGACACATCTACACGGAAACAGGTGTGTATAACGCTGCTGTAACTTTATTAACAGATACAAGAGAGTCAGATCCATGTAGTTCAAGTATCAGCAGTAACTGTACACCTTGTGCTGACTCTGTGTGACATTATTAGAATGTTAATCAGTCATCAATGTTAAGTTTAAACCACTTTATATACAGGTTAGTCCACTGGTTCCCAACATAGGAGAACCCGTGGACTAACCCAAACCTGAAAGGATTTTGTGCAAACCCGAACCGAGCCTGAACATACATACATACACATAAATAATTGATACAAGCTAAAGTAAAAGACATTGTATAATAATGTGTACAAATTATTTTCATTAAAAACGAATAAATAAATTCACTCATTAATTACAGTCACAGGCATTATTAGTTAAATATAAAATATATATTAAAAAATAAATCTCATTCTGTCAAAGCCTGACCTACGGCAGCAGCTTGAGCCCGACAGGTTGGTTTGGGTCCAATCGGATTCGTGCAGACAATCAAAGATCTACATCCAGCAGGTCACCAGATCAATCCGAGAGAGGCGCAAACAACGTTCTGATAAACAAATATATTTTCTATTCATGGATTTTCAACTTAAATTTTTATTGAAAATTTTTTTGTGATGTCTTGAAATGTCCGACCAACAGTCAAAAACCCAAATATCTAGTTTAAAATCACAGAAGATTAAAGGAACCGACATATTTTTAGCTTAAAGAAGCCGGAACCAATTTATTTGGGGATTTCTGTATTAAAATGATTCAAAACGATGATTTCATTATCAAATTTTCAATTGTCAGTTTACTGAAGCTGCACCAAAGAGACTAAACTAAACTCCTTTCAATAACTGCTTTAGATCTTTACCACCGACAGGTTCTTGGTTCTGGTTCAAGCAGCTAGTTTTGAACCGTTGGGAGCATTCCAACCAAAAATAAACCCAAAAAGTTCAGATTTTCCTTGGGAACAAAAGTAGGCGTGTCATTTTCTACAGGTTGTTGATGACGTCCAGGATTATTATGGTTTCACTAGAGGTGGCAAAAGTACACACTTGATTTACTCCAATAGAAGTACAGATACTAGATACTCAAGTACTGATTCTTTGTGTAAAAGTAAAGGCTCTGAAATGTACCCAAAGTATAAAAGTACTCTCTTGGTTTCTCTGAAGGACGTTTCTATCGGCTGTTTCTGTGCTAAGGAAGTAAAAGTAAGTCCACTGGTTCCTGCTTCTTTAATCTGAAAATATGGTTGTTTTTGAAGACATCTCCTTCGGCTCTTCTTTCACTATTTATGGACATTTTCAAGACAAAACAATTAATCGATGAATTGAGAAATTGATCAACAGCCCTAGTGGTGCTGTTAACAACTACAACTCAACTCAAAAAGCATTAAGGTTTGTATTAATGTGTTGTATTTTATGAGCTTATTATTATTTTTGATGTAAAAAAATACAGAAATTTATCTTACAAAAAGTATAAAGTAGCAGAAAATGGAAATATATAATGTACTTATTGGTTTCTGATGCCCATAGATGCCACTCAGGACTGGATTGTGGATTCAGAGGAGCGTGGCGGGTATTTGGGCGAGCTGTCGGTGGACTCAGATCAGCTTCTATACAGACGACACGTCGCTCTAACTCGAAAAAAAAGGAATATCTTGTTTCCCAGCGGAGTCAAACTCTGCACCCAGGAGACGTTTGACCAGGCCATTGCCAACCACCTCAGCTACTTCCACCTCAGAGGTATGTTGCTGTTTCTGGTTTTGCCCCCCCCCCCTGCCATTTAGCTCGCCGGGTCTGTCGGTTTCGGATGTGCCCAAATTAACTTTTTTTCCATTTAACACTTTAGGCGTTTCTCTGAAGCTCTTATCCAGACTGCTTCCGAGTTAAACTCCAAGTCTGCCGTCATTAAAGGCAGCCGATACCAGAGAGGTCAGAGGTCACACAGAGCCAGATTCACTGCAAAAACATGACCGTCTTAACAAGTAATTTAGTAGTACAAGCTTTTGGTTTTTTGTGGCAGTTTTTTAATTTTTTTGACTTACCATTGGTCAAATATCTGTCACTTTCCATCATTGCTCTTTTAGAAAATACAAAATTACTGTACAAATCATAGTAAGCACTTCACAAACCATTTGTTAAGACAGTTATTTTCTGACATTTCCAAATCAACTGGGTGCTCTACAACAAACGATTTGCCCTCTTTCTACATCATCTTTGAAGTTTATGTAACTGCTGAAGAAACAAATCCAATTTTCCAGCAGAATTCCCTTCATGTCTTAGAAGTGGTGGTTGTAATATGTGTTCCAGTCATTATCTATCTCTAAACTTTACGCTATTTCCGGCCTTCAGTTTGTTAGTAAAATAATCAGCCAGACCTCAGTTATGGTGTCCTATGGTGACAGACAAAAGTTCTGTTTGATAGATCGGATGTAAGCCAACTCACCTTGTCTTTCCTATTATATCTCTATTAGAAAGGGGTGAGAAAATTTCCTGAACCAAACTTTTAGATCCAAATGAACACAATTTTGAGAAGAAAAAAACACACAAAAATCACCTGTACTTCTCTTTAAGGGAATATGATGACCTAATATCTGGTGCTCATTTTAATTGTTCGTAACATGTTTATTTGGGTTTAAGTGTGTCAGGAGACGGTGTGGGAAGCCTTTAAGATCTTCTGGGACCGGCTGCCGGAGCGGGATGAGTACCAGGACTGGGTTGGTCGTTGCATGGACAGCTCCGTCAGCGTCATGGACATCGGCAGCTTCTTCAGCCAATCGACGGAACACACCACTCTAATCAGGAGTGTGAGTGCACCGTTGTTTTTATTTTAAAGTGTAGCATTCGTCCAGTGTGAGAACGCTAACTGTAGTCTCCTTTGAGTTCTTGTGGTTCTGTGTTTAGTATTTTAGAAAAACTACAACATACATGGTAATTTAATACAAAATAATATACATATATACAAATACAATACCTTAGACCATAGAAATTAATTATACTTATACATATAAATTATATGTATTTTTTGTAGTCGTCCATTTGTCTGTCATCTTTTTGTTCTTATAAACTGAGAGTTTTCTTCGCTCAAGATGTGTTTCTGTCTTTCAGAGAGTTGCCATGGCTGCTGCGATGAACAGGTCAGTTTAAAACTGCATTTGTTAGAAAGTCACATGTTCTGGTGTTCTTGTGCTGGTGTTCATGAACCTGTTTTAAAAAATGCTAAAAATATTTATTTAACGGTCATTTAGTGACGTGTCAAGTATCTGAGTCATCTTCTCTTAAAATGTGTGAAATCAAACTCTGCCAAGAATTTGCCTTCTTCCAGTTTTCTTAAACTATAATCTGTACGTCTGAACATCGATGACATTGAGCTTTCTTGATTCTAAAATGCAGGGTCAGTGTATTATGTTAATTGCCAAACAATGAATGAATAAAAGTTAGCATCTGTCATCTGTCAGTTTCTGAATGCTGGGGACCCATACTGTACCTTTCTAACAGAAAACTTTGGTACTCAACATTTCTGGTTTCACAAAATACATTAGTTTTTCTTTCTATAGATACAGGGCAGAGGTCACATTTCTATGTTTAAAACCCTTCCGTTTTTTCTTTAAGGTTACACTGCACTATCGTCTTATGGAATACACTTAGATCAGTACTTCTTATTGATATGTGTTGTATCTCATCTGTATTTGCATATTTGGTGTTCAAATTACTTGAATATTGTGATACTTCAATTAGATTATTAGATTACTCACTACATGTTTTAACAGACAATCAGTAATTTAAATATAAAGTAAATATGTTTTTCCAGGCTCATATTGCTGGCAGGTAGACTAACACCCTTTAAAGGGTTTTAAAATCAAATAATTATTGTTAAGTCTCTTTAAAGTTTCACACGCTTTAACGGGACTCAGACACGCAACCGAACGAGTGGCTCGTTAAAAGGTTTTTGCAGTAATGACTCTTATAGATGAGAGCTGTAGACTGACAGTCTCTGTGTATTGACACCTGTGCTGTGTTTCATCACCTGCTGCAGTGAGCCCATCACCTCAGGCCCTCCTCCATGCAGGTAGGCCTGCAAACACAGAACACCAACTACCAAACAAGGCCTGGAATCAGAAACCAGAAACAGACAATATACAGTTTATGGTTTTACACTTAAACAAAAATCTGATTACATCTGGGGTTTTTTTGCTGGATATGGCCAGTATATTTTACAGATATAGTAGATATAACTACCTGTACGTACATGTATTTAGAACTACATTATACTACTAAAACTAGAGTACTTTAAGAGTTTTAATGACTCCAAACAGACGACGAGGAGCCAAACTCGAGTGTTGTTGTTGCCTTGTTGCACTTTTTACAGTCGTGTGGTTTTCGTTAATTCTCACTGTAAAAATGCCTTGACCCAGCTGTGCTGCGTTTTAATGAATGTAAAGGGGAATGCCAGCTATTTTAAAGATTTGCAGATGTTTTGTTTGTGATCGGCGGTGAATGTGCGAGTTCCTGTGCCCAAATCTGAGAATATAAACTTTATTTTGGGGCAACTTTTCTGAGCTTCTTTGATCAGAATTTTGTTTTTGTTTTGAGAGGAGAAACAGTCCCTGAACTGTGCTGCAGGAACATAAAATAAATCTTACAATATGTGCAAATTCCCCTTTAAAAACTGTAAAAAGTTCTACAAGCTGATTTTACTGATGTTGTTTTAAAGCTGTTCTCTCAGACAGCAGTTTGGACTTTTTAGGCTTAAATATAATCGATTTACTACATTAATCATCACTGCTGTCCTGTAAAAACAGAGGTTTTCTGCTTCCTGTTGACGCATTTTAGGGTTTATTTGGAAACTATAATCTAAATCTATATGTAACTCTCATTAAACCACGGTTAATAGTGACACCAGTGGCTGTTAAGTGAACTGCAGTCAGAATGCTGTTCCCGTAATTTTGCAAGCTAATGTTAGCCAACTAACATATCCACTCAGATAGTATTTTGATGGCGATAACGTTAGCGAGCAAGCAAGCTCAAGTTAGTGCTGAATAACGTTATCCAGCCGGCCCACCGCAACGCCATCTAACAAAGTAAGTTAGCTAGTGTTGCACACTGTTTGCACTGTAGGAAAGCAGAGAGAAGGCACTCAGGAGCATAAACTTCACATCCTTTGACCCTCATCCCTACGCTACGCTACAACTCGTTCACTCATTGCTTACTCACACTGATTCACACTGAGACATAAATAATTCTTTACAATGAGAAAATCCCCATCACAGAGAACATTATTGAAAGATAAACAGTAAACTTCCTCAGTCTGTCAGATGTTTCTGTTGTTTGCTAAATGTTCCCTTGTCTCTCTGCCTCTCCTGCAGCTCTGAAACAACAACCATCCAGACTGGACAATCAGTGACTCTACCAGGTAAACACACATGAAGCTCACTCTGAATCATTTTTAGAGTCGCTAGCTAGTTAGCTAGCATTTTGCAAACATTTCTTAACTTAAAATCTGACTATATATATGCCTCTTTTACCATCTTCAAAATGTGGTTATCTTGTGTTTCAACATAGATAAGCTTAGCATATCTAAGTACAGGGAAGGAGGAAGTTGACCGAGGTTCTGAGGTTCATTGTAAACATTCCTGTAAAAATAAACTTGAGGTACTTGTAGTTTATTAAGGGATATTATCTGACAACAGACGGTTATTGTCTTATGGATGACCTCTTGGTGACCTCTTTGTGACCAATTCAGTCTTTCTTTCATGACCCCATAATTGGTGGTAAAAGAGCAACAATTGTACAAACCTAAATGTCTGTACAAGTTTAAAAGTCTGCTGTCAGCTGCAGTCCCTCACCTTACACCCCAATCTGTCTTATGTGAGGGAGGAGTGGGTGCAGCAGGCTGATTCCCGTCACACGCTCTTCTCTCAGAATAGAACTGTAAGCCTATTTACGGGCAGCAGTCTGGTCAATGGAGGGAGGCTGGATAGAGGGCCAGAGATGTCGATGTGACTGAGGTACTGGAGGACAAGTATCAGGGTTAGTGAGATCATAGCTACAAGGGGTTGTTCTGTGGACGGAGCTGGGGTGGAAGTGCTGGCTTTGTAGCGGGTTGTACTTGTGCCAACATGGGCCTGAAAGCCGTATGCCCCACGACACACTGACTACGTTTACATGCACTCTAATTTTCCACTGTTATTCCCAATGTAACAATTATTCTGCATTTGATAAGGGTCATGTAAACAGTTTGGATATTTTTTTATATTTTCCGATTACAACATGTGGGATATTCTGCTATTGTTCAGGTTTTGGGAGCATTCTTTGGACACTTTAAACAGTTTGCGACACTCTGCATCTTTACAGTTCGCTCTGTGTGTTGTAAAAGAAAGATGAGTTGGGCCAACCTGAAGGTTTCTTTCTCCTTGGGGATGCTATGGCAGATTTCCAGTTGAACAAGTCCTGTTAACTAACATACAGCTGTATAGTTCACAGTTGAGATATGGATAGATATGAATTTACTTTCCAACATCCTGATTATTTCATATAATCATTATTTTACAGGGGAAGATGCCATCATCATCAGTTCAGAGACAATCACAGAGGACGAAGATGACCTTCCACCAGGCTTTGAGGTTACTGCTTGGACCCCTCCACCTTCTGCAACCAAAGGGTCGGTTCAAGACGCTACAGCACCCTTGACTGAGATTCCTGTGGATTTTACCTCCCGAGCCTGCGGTTTCCGCCATGCCAGAGGACACCGAAGATGTCCAGGAGACTGCTGGAGGCGGCATTACTTCAGAGAGTCCACTTTTAGTCATTACTGATGCAGACGTTCCCTTGAAATCTAAAGAAGTAGATGTTGAGAACATTGCAGAGGACACTGTGGAGGTTGCCACAGAGGTTGCTGACGCTGTTACCCATGAGCCCTTTGATGGGATTGTTGAGGAAGAGGGGGAAGACAAAATTGTCCCGGATACAAGAGAAGAGGAGGCTGTAGTGGACAATGACAAGATCCTTCAGATCATTCCTGAAGATGTGGATGCACCTGTTTCTGACATGATTCAAGAAGTTAGCCCGCAAGGTGAGGAGCCGCCCTCAGAGGTTGCCGCTGCAGAGGTCATCACTGAAGCTACTGTTGTGGTCCTTGCAAAGCCCACTATAATACCTGATACAGAAGCTGTCACGCTGGAGGAACTGGGGCAAGCAGTATCTCCGGAGCCTGCTGCTGAGGCTCCGTCAGAAACTGTGGCAGGGCAAATCCCGGAGATGACTGTCAAGGTCACTGAGGGCCCAGAAGTTGAAGAAATTCCAGACAATTCTTTGGATGTCAGTGACATTGTAGAGGAACACACTGAGGATTTACCAGAGCCAATCGATGACACAGGAATCGATGCTGAGGAATCTGAAAGTGACATAAAGAAACCACCTGCAGAACATCCTTCAGACGCTGTAGAAGTTATCCGAGATGAATCTGTAGTCACCACAGATGCAATGCCAACTGTATTTATAATAACAGATCCAGAAGAAGAAGGAGAAGCTGAAATATTTATAAATGTGACTCCAGAAAAAGAATCTGTCTTGGACATAGAAACCGAGGTTCCTTCCCAGGTATCTATTCTGACCACAACCGACGTTGAAGTTAGTAGAGACATTGGCGAGGGAAAAGCGCCATTAGATAAACCTACAATAATGGCAGAGGTTACTTCTGAGCCAGTCGTACCGATCTTACAAGATGACAAGAATTTTTCACCACCAATTACTACAGTGGGCAAGATGGAGGCAACCGAGGAGGAAGAAATAGTACTAGAGGCAACAGAAAAGCCAGAGGAAGAGGTAAAAGTCAATAATCAGGAAGCTTCAGTTGTTATTGAAGATAAAATGACAGAATCTGCTGTTGAAGTGGAGTCCGCTGAGGTGATAATAACAGAGACAGATGTAAAAGAGCTAATTGAGACTGTTGATGAAAAAGCACAAAAAGAACTAGCAGTGGAAACAGAAGATTCTACTGCCGAAGGAAAAATATTAGAAACAGCAGAGGAAATACTATCGGAGGGTACAGCAGAAGCTCCGGTACATGTCACAACCAACACAGCAGAAGAAGAACCAGTTGAGGCTGCAACAGGAACAGCAATCATTGAAGAACAGCCACTGAAGACAGCTGATGACACTACAAAAGAAACAGAGGGAACAACTGAGACTACATTAGAACCAATTGAAGGTGGAGAAGAAACACCTGTGGCACCTATAGAACCTGCAGAAGAAGAAGGAGCAGATGTAACTGAAACCGCACAAGATCCAGAACCTGTAGAAATACTAGAGCCGACAGGAGGGGCCACAAAAGAAGCAGAACTGGTAGAAGAAACTGCAGACACAACAGAACCTACAGTAGCACAAGCACAAGAAGTAGAACTTGTAAAAGAAGCTGCTGAAGAGACAGAACCTACAGGAGCACCTGCACAAGAAGTAGAACCTGTGGAAGAAACTAACAAAGACACAGATCCTTCAGGAACATCAGCACAAGAAATGGAACCTGTAGAAGAAACTGCTGAAAAGACAGAACCTACAGGAGCACCAGCACAAGAAGTGGAACCAGTAGAAGGAACTAGCAAAGAGACAGAACCTACAGGAGCACCAGCACAAGAAGTGGAACCCATAGAAGAAACTGCTGAAGAGACAGAACCTACAGGAGCACCAGCACAAGAAGTGGAACCAGTAGAAGAAACTGCAGACACAACAGAACCTACAAGAATACCAGCACAAGAAGTGGAACCTGTAGAAGGAATTAGCAAAGAAACAAAACCTACAGGAGCACCAGCACAAGAAGTGGAACCAGTAGAAGAAACTGCAGACACAACAGAACCTACAAGAGTACCAGCACAAGAAGTGGAACCTGTAGAAGGAACTAGCAAAGAGACAGAACCTACAAGAGTACCAGCACAAGAAGTGAAACCTGTAGAGGGAACTAGCGAAGAGACAGAACCTACAGGAGTACCACCACAAGAATTTGGACCTGTAGAGGGAACTAGCAAAGACACAGAACCTACAAGAGTACCAGCACAAGAAGTGAAACCTGTAGAGGGAACTAGCGAAGAGACAGAACCAACAGGAGTACCACCACAAGAATTTGGACCTGTAGAGGGAACTAGCAAAGACACAGAACCTACAGGAGTACCACCACAAGAATCTGAACCAGTAGAAGGAACTAGCAAAGAGAGAGAACCTACAGGAGCACCACCACAAGAAATTGAACCAGTAGAAGAAACTAGCAAAGAGACAGAACCTACAGGAGCACCACCACAAGAAGTGGAACCTGTAGAAGGAACTAGCATAGAGACAGAACCTACAGGAGCACCAGCACAAGAAATTAAACGAGTAGAAGAAACTAGCAAAGAGACAGAACCTACAGGAGCACCAGCACAAGAAATTGAACGAGTAGAAGAAACTAGCAAAGAGACAGAACCTACAGGAGCACCACCACAAGAAATTGAAGCAGTAGAAGGAACTAGCAAAGAGACGGAACCTACCGGAGTACCACCACAGGAAATTGAACCTGTAGAAGGAACTAGGAAAGAGACAGAACCTACAGGAGTACCACCACAAGAATTTGAACCAGTAGAAGGAACTAGCAAAGACACAGAACATACAGGAGAACTCATAAAAGAAGTTGCAGATCTTGACATAACATCAATAGATAAAACACAAGAAACAGCTGTAGGGGAACCAATGGAGGATGGAAAAGAACCAACTTCTGAGGACTCGGAGGAGATAATGGAGGAAGAAGATGGTGTTGCCAAACCAGAAGCAGAAGGATCTGAACCAGAAGTTGCAGAGGAAGCAGTCCCAGAGACTCTTGATGTAACCTCACCAGAGTCTGATGAAGAGATCACTCCAGTTATTGTTGTTGTACCAGAAGATACAGAGGGTTTATTGCCTGAGACTGAAGTGGAGAAAACACCTGGACCAGAGTTAACACTGGAACTTCCAAGAGACGCTGAGTTAGTACAACCGGAAAGCACCAAGACTACTACACAGGTGATTGAGCCTACAAGTGAAGACTCCAAACACCTCCCTGAAATCGGGAAAGAAATTGTCCCAGAGGCTCCAAGTGAAACATCACCAGAGGTTGTGACTCCTGCCCATCCAGGGACTACCACAAGGGGAGGAACCACTGAAGCGGAAGAGGTTTCACCTGAAAAAGATGTTGTCAAGAGTGAGGACAGTGTCCAGGTCCCAGAGGAAGTTGAGGGTACCTCCCCCGATGTTTCAGCAGAAAATGCAGAGGAAATCGTGACGGACAGTACTGAAACTGTTGTAAAAGTTACTGCAGAGAGTACGCAAGGTACCGCAGTAGATGCCACTGAGGAACCCACCCCAGGTGCCTCTTTGGAAGTCACGACCAAGTACGTGGTGGAGTACAACAACGGTAACTTCCCCGATCTAACGGAGAGGCCTTATGACATAGATGAGAACTTACTTGGAAACAACGGCTTTGGGTTTGAGGAAGAGGAAGAGAACTCGGTAAGCACATATGGATTACTTATAAAATTCCTGGTTATTAAGTGACAATTTTGAGTCCCACCACTGATAAGATGTACCAAACTGTTCCCGCACTCAGATTGGTAACGAGATAGACGACACTTTGCTGTTGCCCCCGAGGCTCCTGAAGGACCAGGTGGTGGAGCTGAGCATTAAACTGAGAGCAGAAACCTACAACGACGCTCTGAGAGACCCGAGCAGCTTCAACTACCAGCAGCTAGCCAGACACTTCACACGCAGGGTGAGATGGTTTTTACCAGGTCTCTACTTCATGAACGTGATGCAGTTTTCTGTGTTAATGTTGAGGAAACTGCTGTAAACGTACTGATGATTTTAAGGGAATGCATAAAAAAAATATTAGGCTAACACTATAGCATAAATAATATTAAGTAAGGCCTCAAGCTAGGCATACATTACGTTGAGTAAAGCTTCAAACTTACTTTTTTAGCATACACTATGTTAAGTAAGACTTAAGAAGAAGAAGATATACTTTATTGATCCCCTAGGGGAAATTGTTCTTTTCACTCTTTTTTTTTTTTTTATACACACACATGCACTTGTGGACATGCAAAGGGGAGAGAGATGGTGGAGTGATGGGGCTGCAATGTTAACAGCGCCCCATGAGCAGGTTTTGGGGTTAGGTTGCCTTGGTCAAGGGCAACTCGGCAGTGCACAGGAGGTGAAACTGGCACCTCTCCAGCTACCAGTCCACACTCCATATTTTTTGTGGTCTGTGGGACTTGAACCGGCGACCCTCCAATTCCCAAGCCAAGAGCTACTGCCGCTACTTCAAGCTATATATTAGCGTTGTATATATATTTTAGGTAGTATGGACCAAGGGCAAATTAATATATTTTTGAAAATTTCAACAGTAAGGAACTAATCTTAACACTCAAGCTACATTAGCATGTAGCATCAGAGCCAAAGACCTCCAGGAGAGACACAGATGATTATTATCACTCTACAGAGGAGTTAATATATTCCAGTTGTTATCATCTTATTTTGGAGAAAAGGATGATACAGTGAGCAGTGGCTGGTCTATCAGACCTCCTCCTCCTTCTTTTCTTCACTCCTCTCTGTCATTTCTCCTCTCTGACGTCCAGGATGCACACTCATTACCAAATTGACTTGCTTGTGGTTTCCTATAAACTGCAGACTCAGGAGTTGGGCTCCGGTTTAAAGGCCTCGCCTGTTTTTCGCGCATTAAGGATCTTCACGCTTTAAAGCTCAGTTTGCTTTGCCCTGCCAGCTTTCGACTATACGACCCGCTGAGGCAGAAACAGAGCTGGAAAACTTCAGACAACGTACAGAATACGAGCAGTGACTCACTTGGAGTCGGTGGAAAAACAATCTGTGCCAGGAAAGCAGAGTGCCGGTGTATTCCCGCACCGCCGGGAGTTTTTCAGGCTCCGCTCCACCATTAGTGACGCGGGAAGCCAGTTTATGGTTTGAATGTCGGGGTCGGGGTCATTAATGAGGGAATATGAAGTGGATAACGGGGCTAATAGAAACAGCAGGAGTTCCAGTGCAGCACACAAAGAGAGTAGAGGCAGAAGAGTGCAGCCACGGGCCATCAGCACCCAAAAATGTTGAGTTTTATTCCAAATAAAAGACTTGAGCAGCAGATTTCAACAACTGAGACAAAACTAAATGACTTTATTATAATCATGTCTTTATTTAACGGACTGTTTTTACATGCATGCATCATCATAAACATTATTTAATCAGTTATCAGACCATCTGGATAGCTAACTCTACCTAGTGTACTAGATATAAGTATATCCACGTAAGTGTCCACATTTAACAGCAGGGTTGCCACTGATTTTTATGTTTTGAGTATCAGGTCAGAATTATGGTTCGATATATCAGTTCTGTTATTTTGCAATACTATTAATACTTTAGCATGTAAGCTTGTTTGAACGAGGGTCCAAGTTAACACTTTAGCATTTTTAGTTAGGCACTGAGCTAACACTTCTTTGTTATCTACATACATGTTCACATATAGCAGTCTAACCAGTACAGTGCTACAGAGGGACTACAACAGTTTATATTAATTAGGAGCCACCCGGGATTATGGTTAAAAGAAATCCTTTTGTTTCATCAGTTCATTGTTTAATTATGCAAATTAGATGACATCTCAACAAGCAGCTTGTAGTCTACGCAGAGAGCGACAGATAAGGAGGAAAGTGCATAAAGCTCAGCCCAGATTTATAAAAATGGTCATTACAGAATCACAGAAACAAAGACGAAACTTTCTTTCTTTCCTTTCTTTAACTTCCAGATTGAAGACGCCTTCGAGAGGTTGCCGGGTTTCAAGAACGTCTACATCGTTGAGTTCAGGTCAGGTTTGTTCCAAGGATGTGATTTTCTACATCCAATCACAAACACTCAAATTGATCAAACCGAGAAGCCACAAGGAACTTTTATCCAAGAGTTGTTCATAACGACTTCAGTCTTTGAATTCAGTAGAAATCCCTCCTGCTTTCCACTTCCTGTCCTCCATGTCAGTTTCACCTGACTGCTAACAAGCTATTAATGCTGTAGGAGAACCTTTATCTGAGACAAAATTCCAGAAAGGGATCTTTCATTTTTAAGAGACTTAAGATGTTTAAATACATGTGAAATAGATAATGAGACCTTCATTTGGTTTGATTTTATGTGTTTATGTGATGTTTTCTTTCTGTTTTCAGGCCACAGAAGGACCTGGAGCGGTAAGTTTGACTCTTTGGTTACTCTCATACAGTTTTATCACTACAGGAACCTTTATTTATATGGAGCTCTGCAGTTCCTGTAAGCTGGACGACTTTTTGGATGCTTCAGTTTTGTTCTTTGTGTTGAGGCTTGTCAAGCTCCTTCACCGTCACCCAGAGAGCTCTGAAACGGTCCGATACACCCGTCCCATTGACCCGTGACTTTACTACAGAGTCCGCCGTCCCCTTCAGTGAGCTGGGCCTGATGGGAAATTCAGCTGTCATGTTTGGGATAAGGCAGAACAAGTTGTGTTCTGGGCAGATCTTCCCACCAACTAGTTAAGATATTTTTGCAGTGTAGGGTTCTGATATTCAGTTCACTGTAAAACATAATTCTCTTAAATTGAGTCAATTATTGATCGTTCGAAACTGTTATCGTAACTCAAGGCAATCAAATCTACCTGTGGGTTAGGATCATTTCACTTACACATATAGCTGCAGAACCTGTCTAAGAATCATCAAGTTTTCGTTTGTCTTCAGGAAATCAGTAATCCAGTGACAGTTGTCTGTGCATCCATGAGTATACTGCTAACAGGAGCTGCTAACAGCTAATTCTCCTTAAACACTTTAAATGCTTTTAACACTAGAGGGGTGGCAGCTGCATCTTTTTGCACAAGTGCATTATTTTTAATGGCGCACAGTGCGCTCAAAACCGAAAGCAAAGCTGTTAAAAAAACAGTAATATTCCAAAAACATACTGTAACTGACTCGTAAAAATACAGTAATTTTCAATAATTAAAATAATTTTTTTTGCTTTAATTTGACATAAAATCTTTAAAAAGAAGCTTTTTTAATGCTTATACACTAATAAAAAACATTTTAACATTTCTGTTGTGAAATCTAAAATTACAGAACAAGTAATTTTTTTACTGTTTAATATTAAATCTATTAAACAGTAAATGTCCCCTAAAAAATTATAGATTTGCAAATGTATTTTTTCTTGTTATTTTACATTTATTTTGCTATTTTCTGATTTTATTAATATATTTTATTAATGTATTTTAAAAATACGGTGGTAGAATAAATGGGTAAAACCTTGTAAACTTACACATTTTTAAAGAAGTGTAATCAATGCTTTACTGATGTGCGACTAATTATGTCTCATCAACATGGTTCTTATATTCCTATCCTCTCTGTTCACACACAGATGTAAGTAGCCTGTGATTAAAACATGTGCACGTAAGTGGTCAAAGGAGGATTTCCTCACCTTGTGGTTGTGTCCTCATCGACCATCTCCCCTCTTAAAGCCCCTTTCACCTGGCTGTCGCAGTAAATAAGAGCATTGCTGCTACTCTGCTCTAATTTCCACTTAATGTCCTTAACAATAGTCAATCAGCTCTTAAGTGGGATAAGTCGCTCGCTGCTCGCCGGCCACCTGCAGCCGCTACAGGATTACTGTTAAAGATTTACGACAGGCTCGCTGACCTCCACCCACCCCTCTGTCCAGGAACAATCCCCTCCCCACACTCTCTGACCACACTGATGAATGCACTTTGTGAGCTCAGAGAGACTCTTAAACTCACCTGAACTCTGCAGAGTCGTAGAAATCTCGGCATGAAGCATCGAGCTGAAGGTGGAGAAAGTCGATACGGTCGTAAAATCCTCAATTTCTGCTGCTCGAACATTATCTCAGAGTGAAAGACGGAGGTCAGAAAGACGTGAAATAACTGATTATAGGATGTGCGGTGGTTTCTTGTTGATTATTTGCAGGTTAAATCTACAATATGTAACATTCCCTCATTAAACACTGTATAAACTCTTGAGCTATGTTCTATATGTAGTTGAGTTGTGTTCTTATGTGATCGTTATAGTAAAGCTGACAAAATATGTTTCTGATCTTCATCTGCACATTGGCTTAAATATATATATTATATATATGTATACGTGGGGAAAGTGATGTAAGTTGCTGCCCTATATTTTTATGTTCATGGATTTTCCAAAAATAACATAATATGAATTATATTTTTGAAGTAATAACACTTCCTGTTCTTCTTCCCTCAGGGGTTTGGTGGTTCTGGTACACTACGCTATCACTCTGGAAGTCGACAGCAGCGGCATCACCAACGACACACTGGACTTCATCTCTCTGCAGAACAATCTGGTGGAGAAGAATTATCCCGGCGCCGCCGAGCAGCCCACCGTCCTCTACACCATCACCGACTTCCGCAACTACATCACAGAGGCTCTGCACAAAGACAATTTCATGAGCAACAGCAGCTTGGAGACGCAGCCCGACTCGCTGCAGCTGGAGAACAGTACGAGAATGTTTAATTCAAAGAAAGTTTATTTCCAGTCTTGCAGTCTGACTTATTGCTGCAACTTTACACAGTAAAATACACTTTGTTCAGTACTTGAAAACATTTCTTAAATTTGTGGTTTAGTAATTATTCAAGATTTGCAACCAGAACCAGTTTTTCTACTCTCAACTCAACTCTTTTCTGCAGCGGAGAACTTGTTACCTGCTGTAAAACCTACGAGCCTCCCGGCCGACACCTTCGACAACATGGTGGGTTAAACTAAATGAGATTTCTTTTGACTTAAGCACAAACGTAAAGAAGAGTAAACTGTTGATTCTGCTGTTGAATGTCCTCCTGTCAGGGTAACGTCCTCGCCGCAGAGAAGCCTCCCGACGCTCCGAACCACGAGGTGGAGAGCAGCGACGTTTTCCTGAAGAAAGACGACTTCCTGTTTGACCCGTTTGACCAGTGGAAAGGCCCTCAGGGCGCGGTGGTGAGTGAGAACGACGTCTTCATGTTTGACGAGAGCACGGCTCCTCCACCCACCGCTGAGTTCCCGGAGCAGACGTTTGACCTGGAGCCAGCAGCACCAGGGAGTGAGTAAAGGTTCAGTAACTCTACAGAAAGAAAGAAACTGATGATTTGACCATGAATTTGAGCCAACAAGAAATCCTAAAAGTGCTTTGGATAAAATCCTATCTGAGGTTGAAAAAGTCTCATTAGACTCTTTATCTAGATAACTGCAGACAATTGTTACAGCAGTGGAATAACAGTTTGAGGCAGCTCATAGATTTGAACCCAGTTAAAACTTCATCCTATCAGGTTTTCTCACTCTCCTGGTCCTAAACCGTGTTGTGCTTTTCTGGTTTATTAGATGATGGAAATATTGAAGATGAGGGATTCCTCCTCAGTAATGCCGCAGAAGATGTTACCCACCGAGGGGACCATGCGGTAGGTCCTGGAGGCTCCTCTGCAGCTGCCCCCCCTCAAACAGGCTCCGAGGTCACACTTGACGAAGGATCTGGCTCTGGTTTCTCCGGAGACGGCCAGGGAGCTGATCTTTGGTCCTGGCAGCCAGCGGCTACCTCTGATGGGACTGGCTTCTATGAGAAGAGTGATGGCAGCCTGGAGGTGCTACCACCGCCTGATCTGGAGGAGACTGAAGATGAAGGTGAGGATGAGGAGGCAGTCGGAGTTGAGTCGCCAACCACTGAGAAAGAAGATTTAATAGCGATGGAAGTTGAGTTCACCAATGCTCCAGTAGTTCCTGCTTTTGAGGAATCAGTTCCAGACAGAGGCATTGAGGAACCTTTCTTGGATCAGGTTTTGGTAACGCCGCACATCAGCACAGACCCTCGATACTCAACCACCACCGAAGCACCTGTATTCTCACCCAAAGGTACCTTGACTGTTGAACTTTCAGTGCGAACAGTGGAGACATCCGCCATCTACGATGACTACTCCTTGACTGAACCACATACTCATGTGGCAGCAGTCACAGATTCTCTTCAACTGGAAGTTTGGACTCGTGAGGCCCCTGTTTTTGCAGGACCAACTGATTCTGTAGTCAAGGTTCAAGAAATCACTGAGGAGGTGGAAGTAACTTCTACAGCAGGAATAGACCTTGCAGTGGCTACAGCTAGATCTGAATCAGAAGAAGATGTACCTGAGAAGGAGGAGTTTGAAGTCATTGTTGCACCTGAAGTGGTCCCAGATTCTGATGCCTCCTCAACCAAAGAGGCACCTACCTTTGTAGAAGTCAAGGCAGTCACAGTCAAAGACTCCAGCTTTGATACAATCACTGAAGAGCCACCAGACCTTGAAGTATACACAGAGAAACCCAAACTGCTGCTGCCAGAAACTGAAGACCACTATGTGGTTGAGATTTTGGAGGAACAACACATTGGTGCCACTGATGCTGCGATAACAATGGCCCCGGTGGTTGGCATCCAAGACGAGGATTTGTTTGAGGATGAAGTCATGGTTGCCACTACAACGACTGATGCTCCAGTCCTCACTTCATCTGTAAGTTCAGACCACAGCAGCAGCATTGCACTCTCACCTGAGAAGGACTCACCATTCACTCGAGTGTCTGATTCATCGCCGGAGGATGAGGAACCGGTTCACCTTGACCACCTAAACCACGAAGACGTTGATGAAAACCCAATGATTAATCCGACTTCAGATGTTTCTCTTTTGACGCCATCCGTGGTGGTTCTGAACAAAACAGAAGGTGCTCCAACAGATGTCATAGAATGGTCACCAGGCACTTCAGCAGAGGATGAAGACTTGGGTACCACTTTGACGAATACTACGGGAAAGGAATTAGGTAGCAATATTCTCCAAACAGCTACTTCCTCGCTTCAGGAAAACAACACTCCTGCTACCGAGATCCAATCCTTCGAGCACATTCTTTCTGACGTGCCAAGCATCGCCGTCAGCTTTGATGTCTTCCAGTATGGTGGCGTGGCAACTGAAGGTGACAGCAGTGGTTTCTCCAGTGGGGCTCAGGGGTCAGACCTGGATGCCATCGCATTACCGACCCGACCTGGCAGGGCCCTTACGGTTTTCTTTAGGCTCAGGGTAACCAACATGGCGTTCTCCATGGACCTCTTCAACAAGAGCTCAGCTGAGTACAAAGCCCTGGAACAACGGTTCCTACAACTGGTGAGAACTCAGAAAATCTTGTCCCAACAATTTAATCTTCTAGTTTCATATGTAACATTTTTCATGTTTGTCTTTTTTATTCACTTTGCAGCTGGTCCCGTACCTTCAATCCAACCTGAACAACTTTAAGAACCTGGAAATTCTCAACTTTAGGAACGGCAGCATAGTGGTGAACAGCAGGATGAGGTTCGGTAAGCCAGTTCCCAGAGGTGTCACCAATGTTGTCTACCTCATCCTGGAGGACTTCGCCAACACCGCCTACCAGACCATGAACCTGGCCATCGACAAGTACTCCCTGGATGTCGAATCAGGTAAGACTTAATAAAGTAGGGTAGGGTTAGACTTTTACAGGTTTTTGAAGGCTGAAACAGAATTTAACACTCAAAATGATATTTATATTCTCATAAATGTTGCTCTTGTCAGGGTGGAAAAACTTCAGTAAAGCATTTAGCACAATCGGCTGTGGTGAGAACCGCCGGGTGTCCTATCAACGCTGATTGCTATTGCTATTGCTGTCCTTGAAAATTATTTCTTTAAAAGAGTAGGAACCCTGCCAGAGCTAATTTGGTGGAAAAGGGGTCCTGTTCCACTGGTTCACTAGTAATTCCTGTTTGGAGCCACGATTGCAGTGTTTTTGAACTATTCATTTGACATCCGCCCATTATCTTTATCTCAATATCCATAAAATTTTACTCGTAACTGGTCAGTATGTAGCAGGCTGATATTGATACTGTATATTACAGGACATTAAAAACTATAATATAACTATAAATATAGCATTTTCATTCTTAAATTGTTAAATTACTTAATGATTTAATTAATTATTTCATTTTTAACAAACATTTCAGTGTCACATTCCTCTACATACCACTAGAGGTACCATAGTTTGAGAACTAGTCTTCTACAAGAAGTATCTAAGTACCACTACTACCAATCAGTCAGTGTTGTATTCTGGGAGTTGTTATAAGACCTTTCATGCTCAGCAGTCGAGTACTGTGTATGTGTGCAGTGTAACTCCTGTCAGTCTAATACCTGAGATAATCCGTCTGGGAGGAACGTGAGCAGCAGTACACACACTGACTCACTCTGTTGAATCAACATGGCTGCTGTTTACAGCCGTCTGTCTGAGCCGATAGAGACACTCTCTGCCCACTGGGGATCTTTATATCTGCAGGTTTATTTGCCTTTGAATGCAAATTTGAGGTTACTGACCTCCGCCCAGGGACTACTGATCTTTTATCTTTTATCTTCATAACCTTCACACCAGTGACCTCTGCCCAGGGACTACAGTTGAATATTAGCTTTTAGCTATATTTTGTACTATACATTTATTGTGCATTATCCCTGTGAAATAACTGTCAAATAAAATAAATATACTGCACCAATATGTACCAAATACCAAAAGGTACAAAACCAAACATTCACAAATGTTACCTAGAAGTTACAGCACAAACGGGGGAAAAACATGTGGACGAGCCCCCAATTTGTCATATTTTTAGTCCACAAGATATACAGGAATAATGTTGAAAAATTAATCAGTCAGTATGTTCCCTACTTATTCTTTCTGTGCAGAGGAAGCTTTTATTTTGATAGGCAGCATACAGACGTTATTTACACCTGAGCTGGTGAATTGGGGATGATTTCTGCAGCTGAGATGAGATAAGGTTTCCCGTAATTTCCTCCAGTTTGTCCATCTCTGCTGAGCTGCAGCGCTTTAATCTGTCTGAGCCAATCAGAAGAGCTCCTGACAGCCTGATAACCCTAATCTACAGCAGTGAGTCACTGCGGTCAGGACTCACTGTGGACGTAATAATCAGTTTACTCCTCTTGTCTCTGCTGCGCTCTGAAGGCACGTTTTCAATTGCACATGCACCTCAACCATACTGGGATCTGTAGAGGATGTGGTGCTGGAACTGCAGTCACCTGGTCCTCCTTTAAGTCATTATGAAAGATGGTTGTTCAGTTTATATTGACGATACAACAGCAGTACATGAAAAGTGTGATTTAATGACACTTTTCCTGTTAGCTAGCACATTTTAAAGATCACTTTTTGCACACGACCAAAATTATTGAAGCCCCTCCCCTTTTTGCTATTTGCTCCAATTACAGTTGAGTGAGTAAAGTACAGTACTTGAGTAAATATACTCAATTCACCTCCCTACTGTTCTCGTCGTTGTCTCCAGAACCTCTTCATCTTCTCTTCTTCTTTGTTGTGGTTTCCTCCTCAGGTGACCGGGCAGATCCCTGTAAGTTCCAGGCATGTAACGAGTTTTCCAGGTGTATGGTGAATCGGTGGTCAAGCGAGGCCGAGTGCGTTTGTGACCCTGGATACCTGAGCGTGGACGGACTGCCATGTCAGAGCGTCTGCGAGGTGCAGACAAACTTCTGCCTCAATGACGGCAAATGTGACATCATCCCCGGCAAGGGCGCCATCTGCAGGTTGGAGGAGGTTTTACCCGCTGTGGTCTATTGTCACGATGAACAACGTAGTCTTAAATACTTATATTTATTCCTGGTGGTGTTTCTGGGTATTGAACCACGACCTTTGCTGCAGGTGTCGGGTTGGAGAGAACTGGTGGTATCGCGGCGAGCACTGCGAGGAGTACGTTTCCGAGCCGCTGGTAGTGGGCATCGCCATCGCGTCAGTGGCTGGTTTCCTAATGGTGGCGGCCGGGATCATCTTCTTCCTGGCGAGGTCGCTGCGAGAGCAGTACGACGAGGAAGACACAGAGGACCCGCTACGGTGAGCTACACCATCTCCCTAAATTCCAATAGACCTTCTTCACAGCAGCCAATAGTAGGGTAAATACAGTGGTACAGATTGCTGCCGTTGTGCATGTTGGCGCACTGGAAAGGCTCCGGTTTTCTACCCCACGGAACCACTTTAATCAATAGGGATGTTCCTGGCAACCATTTGTTGTATTTTTAACTAATCAACTAGTGTAAAATTGTGACACTCTGAAAATTTAGCACAATTTTAAGACACACAGCCAGTCTTTACTCTGCAAGCTAGTTGCTATTTCGTGTTACACACATTAGACATCAGATTTAAATGTCAGTAAACACGTTTGGATGCTAGTGAACATGAACATGAACATATGGACAATAACTGTCTGCCGACAATGCCACAACGCCCGAGCTTTAAGGGAGCAGGTAAGCTAACGCTACATTAGCTAACTGTCAGTCAGAAATTTGTATCACTGGTGACACCTTTGTTTTACCCTACTGTTTCATGTCTAAATGGCTGCTGTGAAGAAGGTCTATTCCAGGTAAATAGGCATCCATCCACCAGGAGGTTGACTGAAAACACTGTAAGTTGTTAAAAGAGACAAACTAAACGTTCAAACTTGTCCCTCTTTCAGACGGGGTGACAGTGTGCCGACCCTGGAGCGCGCCACCAAGTTCAACCCCATGTTTGAGAGTGACCCAGTCACCGCCCAGTACTACCGTCGCTATGATGACGAAACACCACAGTACTACCACCGTTGTGACCCCGACCATCCGCAGCACAGCAGCTCCGTCAGCACGGACAGCTCCAAAGACTTCGGCAGCGACGAGATACGACACATCTATCAGAACACCTCGCTCACCAAAGAGGTACAAAAACTGTTCATGCTTGTAGTTTATTTTCTTTACTTCAGTGATATCAAAACTCATAATGTGTGAAAGACAGACAGAGAGTTCAGCTACGTACCACAGTCTGTCATCAGCAGAGAGATTTATTTTTGTTAAATATTTTATTTTAGTAACTGTCATAACTGTAGCTAACAACAGCACCAGTGGCCGTTCAGTGAACTGCAGTCAGCGTCCTGTTGCATCCTCCTGGGCGTCGGCCAACAGTGACAAACACTGAACGCTGTAAAATAACTGACAATCACATTTAGAATAACGTTACTATCTGCAATGTTCCTATATTTTATTTGGACCATTAGCTCCATGCTACCCGAGGCATCCTCTACTCTACTTTCTCCTCCTGTAGAAAGCTTTGGCTTCTGTTTCTGAAACCGCAGGACGTGTTTAGTAAAATTACTTTAACTCTTTGGACGGAGAAAATCCAGTGTTGTGACATTCGTTTGGCTCAGAGCTGTTTTCAGTCTCAGCAGGAGGTACTACACAAGTATTTTTATCTGCAGGACCTCCTCAGTTTACAACTCTGACCTCGCAGCCAAACTGTTACATAAACATGTTTTCCTCCCTCTGACCTCTGACCTCTGTGTGCAGGAGATCCAGGAGCGTCTGAGGATAATCGAGCTGTGTGCCAGGGATCAACACTTTGCAGACTTCGTGCGACAGACTCAAGTGTGAGTGTTTCATTTAATAATAACTTTTCAGCACTTTTCAAGCACACAATTAAAGGTCTGTATGAAATAAATTATTTTAAAATAAATAATAATACTTAATGGTATTGTAAAAATGTGTATAAAATAAACTATCGAATAAAAAATAAATTAGTTGTCTTTAGTATGACGCAATCAATCCTGTTGCAAATGACAAAATGTTAAAAATCTGTAATAATTGAACATCATAATAATATAATAAATAATAATTAATAACATTTGAAATAGTAAAAAACTACAAAAAAACATAAATGAAAAACAAGTAGAAACAGTAACACAGTTTAATAATAAAAATGTATTTATTTAGGTGCCCTTACGTTCAAACGCAAATAAATGTAATTAAATAAATACAGTCAAAACAAATTATAAATAGCTAGTATATAAATTGTAATGAAAATAATGATAATAAAATAAAATAAATAAAAAATGCCTAAAATTGTTTAAAGGTTTTGACCACTATGGCTGCACATAAAATACACGCTGTTAAAGATAAAGATAAAAATTAATCATGGCGCCACTGGGCTTCCGTAGGAAACACAAAACAAGGCTTTTATATCACATAATCTCCTCCTTTAGAGAGCAGAGTGTCTCTCGCTGCCCCTCCAGGGGATTATAGACTTTCTCCGGGGGTGTAAAGCTGAGAGGTGAGCCAGGATTCTGACCGTCTGTCCACCTGTACCAAAGACCGACGTTTAAACATCCATCTGCCTTTATTCTGAAACTCTAGACGACTGTTTCCTAGACGTCTAGATAAGAAAAAAATACTGTCTGTTACTCGATGCACAGATTCTCACATGCAGATTCTCTTTTAGATTTTTGATTTATTCAGATTTTATCCATAAGTTGTTGGAGCAGATCCTTTCCAGCTCCCCAGAGAATCCACCCTTTAGTTCTGATCCACCTCCTGACCTTTCAGCTCTTCTGTTAGCGCGGAGGGTAATTTAATTAAGTTTCATTAAATCCTGAAAGACAGATTTATAAAACTTCCACTATTAAACAAACAACATTTGTGTCGAAATCAGTTTGTGATGAAAAACCTAAGAGAAAAATCCTCAATTGGTCCTTTGAACACTAGTAAAAGAAAAGTATTAATAAGATATTTAAAGTCAGACTGAAGCTTTTAGACCAAACAGACTCTCGTTTTAAACAGATTCTCCTTCCTGACCTGCTGTTTGGAGTCGAAGGGAAACAGTTAAAAATAGCAGAGAGGTTTGGAGACGCTCTACTAACGGCATCAAATAAACGAACAAACAGCAGTTTGACCTAAAATATGCAGAAATATACAAACCGTAATCTCCCTTCCTTTCTGCGCTCCGCTGTTTACGTTCGAGGCTCTTTAACATTTAAGTTCTGGGTCTTTTTGTGGTTTGGACGTCGAGGCTTTGGACCACATCACTCGCCGGCCAGAAACCACCAAACTAATCAGATTTTCTCTGGTTCTGCAGATTCCTGGAGAGGAGAGGAAGCTCGACCACATAGCGAGTCCTGAGCCGCTGACCTCGAGGTACCAACATCCAGTCTTTTTCCTTCTGGTTGCTGAGTTTTATCCCACGTTTCTGTCTTTGTGAACAAGCTTTGATTGTCAGAATCTTCTTTCTTCAGTTCAAAAGAGTTCAGCTTACATTAAAAACACACTATTTTACCCAAGATGCCTTGACTTGTAAATTTGTCCGACAGACGCAGCCGTCAGGAGGCTAGTTTTCGTTAGCCTTGCCAGGAGTTTGTGAATCAGTGTATTTTATTCATATCGATTGTTGTTTATTTGAACAGTAAAATCATTTCTAAATATAAGACGGGTTCAAAACGTAACCTCGACTTAAAAACCTTGAGTTAATGGTTTAATTTCTCTTTTACTGAGAGAATGAAAAAGGTTTCTATTTCTTTCAAAAGCAGAAGATATTTACAATATTTTAACTTGGTTATTTTGAGATACTAAGTCCTCGTTTTCAGATAATAGAGAATTGAATAGTGTGTGGACGGATTTGTGTGCTGAACAGGTATTATTGATCTGTGATGAGACATTCAAACCTTTAAAAACTTCAGTTAACATCTTAAGGACAAAACCAGACAAGACATCATCTTCTAGACTGTTTTCTACCAACTGACTGTTGTTTTTCTTGTAGTCTGAAGCCTTTTGCTTGTAGGAACAATGTTGTGTCTCCTTTCTGATCTGAGTTCCTGTCTTCCTCTACAGAAACCTGCCTTCGTCTTTGATTTGTGGAGTTTTCCGTCGCCTGGCTGCTTCCCATCAGTTGGAGGTGAAAGGTGACGGGACGCTGAAACTTTCTGGGAGTTTATTTCCTTCTGAGGACAATTTCTGCTCTTCTGTTTCACCGACCATGCACTGAACTTTGACCTCTGCAAGGTCGCCTGTCCCTCTGACCTTTACCTGTCACCTCCTCATGTAAATACTGTTCTGTCTTTGTTTTTTTGGAGTAACACTTCAGTCACTGCTCTTTAACTTTCACTGCTGTACCTCTGTCTTTTACTTTCAAATGGATTTCATGGCTTTCATCTTTAGCTTGAATTCAAGGGCTTCTGTTTGCAACCTGCTCTCCACCGCTGTCGTACAAAAGAAACTCGCACCTGAAGGTTTTGTTGTCGATTGTCTGACAGCTCTGGCTCCCAGCGCTCCTCCCCATCAGTGCCTTGCCGCTCTGTTAGCTTTATTTTTGGGTAACTGATGCGTAGAATCTCAGAGCCCTTGACGTCACTGTACTTCCACGACAACCCGGATCATTAACGCCATCGATCAGCTGCTTACCGAACGCCAGCACCCGTCTGCGTTTCTCACCAATGTTTACATTTCTCAACCAATGCTGGAGTGTTAGCGGATGTGTAGCCTGTCAGTGTCTTCTTGTATGTGCTTGTTTTTTTAAGAAGTCCTACCTTTGATTCTCGCGTGGTCCCTCAACCAGAAAGGTTTCAGCAACCAGAGAAATGTTGACCACAGTTTCCAATCAGTCTTAGTTTGTCTGACGATTAGTGAGATGGTCGAACGCATTCAGTCTGATCCCTTTGCAAACTGCTCTCCTTTAAGCCGAGTTAATGAAACCGATGATACAAAAAGGTTCAAAAAGCTGGAAATCAGAAGCTGAGTTTCTGTTTTTTATGACCTGAAACTTGGTCTGAACAAGATACCTAGTTAGCATGAGATATTCTCTTTTTCAAGCAAAATATTAACTTGTTTGCGACCCTCGAGCTGAAATAAAAAGAACCTTAATAAATGTAATGAAAGTATCCGAGTATAAAAACCCAGGAAATATGAAAATGCTTCCACAGGACAGACGATAAAAATTCCTCTTGAACATTTAAACGGTTTAAATAACTTGAATTTTCTTCGTTTGTTGCATTTTACTTGAAACATTTCTACTTAAACTCAACCGTCTGCATTGTATTAGAATCTATCCAGTAGACTGTCAGCTGATATTTATTGTTGTATGTTTAGATGTTTTTCTAGCAAGCCCTCCCAATCACTAAGTTGTAATACAGTTCCCAGAATGCACTGGTCCAGCTGTAATGGTCACATTCCACTGATATCTGTCTTGTGTGTGCAGGTCTGGGGCTCTTTGTGTGTTTTGTATCGTGTTTTCTATGCTGTAATTATAGAGCAGAGACAATAACAAAAATATGATGTGTACGTGCGCGCTGGCACTGTCGCATTTTTCTAAAATAAAATGACAATATTTTTTACAGTATCATCTGAATTTACCCGATTTTATTTCTTAGCAGTTATTAAAGAAAGAAGTATTGAGGGAGTCGGGGGAGTGGGTGTCAGGAAGCTACAGGGCTGATGGGAAATGGAGTCTTAGAGGTTAGACCACCTGGTAAGAGCTGAAAATGTGAGCTCGCTAAGTTAGCATAGCGCTGATCAACCAAACTCCATTTAGAAAACAAACATTTTAAAAGCTGTTAAAATCTGTTCATTTGGGGTCATGCCGCCGTGATAAACCAGATTAAAGGGCGGATAGTCACTCGCGCACTTGTCAACGCACCATTATGGCATCTTCACTCACCAGAGAGATGCATGCTGGGTAAACGTCTAATTCCCTGGAAGGTTTCTACTGGTTTTCTCTTGTGTGACATTCGGATACGACATGACTGAGTTAAACAAACGCAGCTCTTTTGAGGGATTCTCCACCTGTCAATCCAACTCATCGCAGTGACGACCTGATGACAGCGGAGGTGTGTAAATAAAGGTTTGAACAACGAGAGGATTTCAGGTATGTGGCCGAGGTCACAGGAAGTACTTCTTTCTCTTGTTGCTGTAGTTGAAATGTTTAAATTTTATTCAACTGATGAACTTATGTTTATATTTTTAGGAGTTAAATGGATTTATTTAAATGTATTATTATGTTTTGTAGATGGACTGTTTTATTTATATAATCTAATATAATTTATTTATATCATTTATTCAACGTAGTTTCAGTTTTTTGCTGTTTTTACTATGATTTGTATTTAGTGTGTGTGTGTGTGTGTGTGTGTGTGTGTGTGTGTGTGACGATGTGTTGACAGACTTCAGTTGTCGTTATCCAGAATCAGACAAACTGATGAAAAGCAGAAATATGTGTGTTTTCATCACCTTAAGGGAGGAATGTTTGAGGGTCTCACCGGTAGAGACATTTTAACCCTTCAAGCTCCAGTGTGTCACATGACTGGAATATCCACAGGTATGTTTCCACAGTGAATTCAGATCAGATCTTCCAGCCTGAGCTTTCAGTCGCTGATGCTCTCGTCCTCTTAGTAAATGTTTATTTCCATAGTGATGAGGATGTTTCCACAGTCTGCTGTTCGGAAAGTTTGTTTCAACAGTTTTGAATCATTTCAGCTGGTTTGTGTCAAACGTGTGAAAACCTGAACCTCCTCCACTTTTCTATTTTTGGGTTTTTCCAGAGTTTGTTATGAAGGAAAAGCCTCGTTCTGGAGCCGGTTTCTTCTCCGTGTTTCTCATTTGTTTTCTGAGCAGCGTTAATGAAGCTTCCGAGAGCTTCAGATTCACAGCATCAACATTTCATTGGTCAGGAACATGATCACATGTTGCAATGTGTAATAACTATTGTAGAAGGGAGACTGCGATCGTGCTTCCTGGAGTTATAGCAATCCAATTAGCTCACTCAAATGATAACATTGTGTTGTAAGAAAGCCAAAAGTTGAAGATTGATTGACGAGTGAATTTTGTGATGTTATTGGTTGAAATCAGTTAGTTCTTGCTACATTTTGTGTATGTAATGTTTTACATTGTAGTACAACTGGATTTGGTCTTAAAGGGTTAAAAAAGACGTCCTTTTTCTTCCAGTTTGACCTCTAAACACATCCTCAGCTGCTGTGGCTCCAGAGACGAAGTCAGAGGCAGTGATCTCTGGAGTGTTCTCTCTGATAGAGTCAGTCTGACCGTGAACTTCCAGCATTGTTGTTGCTGTTTTCGCCCGTTGCCGTGTTGTTTAATGTCCGTCAGGTCTTGGATCAGCTGAACGGAGAAATGCGCTCTCGCTGAACTCATCGGCGTGTTGGACAGACGAGACGTCCTCTGAGAGTAAAGCTACTTTTATTTCTCTGAACATCCAAGCAAAGTTCAGAAGAAGCTCCCATTCAGAACTCCATAAAGAAAATGAGCCTTTTTATGAGCCGTTCATTGTCTTCCTGGATGTTCACTTCTGGACTTTGGAGCCTCGTTGGATCTGAGCTACAACGTGAGGTCTCTTGTCGCCATTTCACCTTTTTATGGAGCTGGTTTGTGTTTTAATTGAAGCGGAGTTGAACACCTTTCAGTAACCTTTACTGAGGAAGTTATAAAAGCCGACGTTTCCTCTCACACAGCTGCAGACTTTTATTTTGGAAACTGTGGCGACAAAACGGAGCAGAAAAACAAAATAAAAGCGTGGCGAGAATATTTTCTCTTCCAGCTCCTCGTTCTCCTTCTGCCCTTTCCATATCAGCTGATCCTCTGCGAGGCCCCGATGACCCCCGGAGCTGAACCTGTCCAGGACCTGCTTCAGATCTAAAGGTTTATTATATAAACTGTCACCACAGTCACAACTAATGTCTGACTCCAGATCAGATTCCTCTTCTGTGGACTCCTCTGGTCCCAATAAAAGACAGATACGGCACACAAACATGATAAATTAACAATCCTACAGCACATAAACAGATAAATATAGTTAGAGAAAACACTTTAACCAGCAGAGCTCATATATCTGCAGTTAATTATTTAATTTCACAGTCACCGCTCGCCGTCCTTCAGCTCGGTGCTCAGCGACGGCCAACGACATACGAGGTGTGTTTGGAAAGGAACTCCAGCTCTCGCTCTGCTGACAGTTAAATCACCTCATGAAGGATCGCCGGCTGGAACGGCCGACGGCTCCTCGCTGCTTTCAGCCTGAATTATAGATCCAGAGGTTTGTTTTGGTTGGCGGCGGCTCTGCGGTGAAACCAGCAACCTCAGAGTGGATGAGCTCTGTTCCGACCCCAGTACGGAGGACGGTACTTCACTATGTTTATCTGACAGCTTCAGTTCAGTTACACAAAAGATACGAAGACTTTATAGAATATGATGACATGAATATAACGTAACGTAATTTCTGTACGTGCAATACTCAGCCTCCTGTTAGACTTTCAAAATAAAACACAAACGGTGTTCTCCTGGATTTAAGTCCTATTATCAATATCATTTTTAAATAAAAAATCAAGCAAAGTTAAAAAGAAAAAAGAAACATTTTTAATACATAATATAAAAGAAAAGGTAAAAATATATAAATAGACAATATATGCAATACAATATTGGTCATTAATCATAGAAAACTGCTCTTTATTGATTACGACAGACAATAAATCCTTCTGGATCATTAACGATGATTTAAGCGATCAGCCTGCGGAGGACGCCGATGATCTCAGGAGTGTTTTCCCAGCCTGCTTTGTGTCGCGTTATTAAAACCAGGCGGAGCGTCGCACTGCAGCTACTGGCAGGTGGCTCGCACATGGATGCTGAAGAAAGTGATCCGTGCTGACAACCAGAGGATCATAAAGACTTCCTCCCTGCTGTCAGGGCCCCGGGGTTGAACTGAGGCTCTGACGGCTCTTAACCTCGGCCCCCGTCAGATGGCCCCGAAACCGGAACCCTGACGCTAAGCGAGGATGACGGAGCTAATGACAGGATTATCTCTGAGAGCACTCGGGAAGGAACGACATCCTTATCAAACAATAATTGACTCCTTCCATCAATAGTTATTGAAATCAATAATATTAAACCAACCAGCCAGACAACCACAGCTTAGCTAGCTGGATGCCCCTGCCTCGTATCACTCTTGGCTAGTAGAAAGCTATCGTTAGCTTTGTATCGCTACATCATTTATTGTTGGCTAAAATCAACACCATTTGTCAGAATACACAAGTTAATTTGACTTTGTGTTGCACTCGGGTGGCACTACCTATCTTCATAATGTGGATAATTAGTGCTGTTAGCTCTCTGCTGTTTTCTACTAAAAGACTGCTGCTTTTTCCAGTTGGGGCTTGTTTCCCCGTCTTAATACCGAACATGAAGTGATGATGTGACGTCAGGTTGTCCTGTCGGCAGCGCTGCAGTTCATCGCTGCGGTTGTCGACCATTAATGCTGCAGTGCAGTTAAACTCGGGCCTGTGTGCAGCTTCGGGCCCTCTAATCGTCTTCAGGTTGTCGTTACCTCTCTGCTCGTACGTGAGCTGGCTGCACAGAGACGTGTTGAAACCCCGACTCAGAGCCAAGATGAGCGGTAAAGTCTGAGCGTTTGGCATTCACCAGAAGATCTGAGGTCCTGACTGGTTTCGGTCCAGCAGGTGCCTCTTTGAAAAGTTATCTTACTGTGACTGGAAAGTATCTGGACTTGGCCGCGTGGGGGTTTAATGGGAAACACAGTCCTCAGTTAGAACAAGTGCCCCTCTGATTGTTTCCCTCCTGGATTCAGACTGTCGGCCTTCCTGTCAGAGGCGGTTAGCGTCGGTTGTGTAACAACTTCGCGAAAATCTGAAAAAAACAAAAGCTCTTAAAAGTGTTTTTTCTTCTTCTTGCTGAAGCGATCTGTTTCGTCTAATGGGAGGCAGCTTGTGTTTCATCCGCTGAAAAAAGGCAGAGTTCAGGGATTGAATAACAGTTTGACGTCACTTCAAACTGCAGCTCGACTGAACAGGTGACGTCTGGAGCGCTGGAGGCTGTCAGGAGCTCTAATGAAGACGACTGAAGAGTTCACAGGTTACCTGAGCCGGTGTTACATCATTCACTGCAAAATAGTGCCTCAAATATTCTTTAAAAGAAGAGTTTGATTCTGCAGGATATCCTCAAACTCACTGAGCTTTAGGAAATATTTGACACAAAATTATCCAGTTTGTGGCACAGAAGTGGTAAAACAGATGTATTTTAATGTTGGAAATATTAGAAATAAAAATAAAAAGCACATGTGAAATGTTGGAAAACTTCACACTTGATAACAAATAATCAGCCTCCTTGACAACTGAGCAATTTGCTGCTGAAGGCCTTGACAGTTTTTTACCTGGCTGCTGTTTTGAAGCTCAATTTCTTCAGATTTATTGATGATTTATGCATTTGTGTTCTAATTTAGAGCTTTAATAATCTCCTAGATTGGATCAAATGGTGATGTGAAATGTGAAAGGTGTCTCTCTTTTAGCTCTTTTTCACAGATAGTCGTTGGACTGAATTCATCAGGTGGAC